AAAACAACGAAAAAAATGTTTGACACTTATTCTCTGTGAGGACATGGTATCACTGCGATGGAGCTGGTCCATATGTATGCATTGCTCTCTAAAGTCGTTAATTTTTAACAAAGTATGCATTGTCGATTCTAGGTAAGACTTTAAAGATCGTTTCTTTTAGCATTATAACGCTCAAAATCTGACACCGAAAAGCATCTAGATGTAAGCGAGAAGGAGTTTGATATACTTCCCAAGTTGCTGTATAATGCTGCTGATTGCACTCCTAACAAGAAAGTGGACTGTAACGTGTGCATTTGTAACCAACATAGGAACCTAGAATGTGATAACGAAATATGTGTTGACCAAAAAACTACGCACAATCTGGAGGTTAAAAATATATCAGGTTAGCAGTTTTAGAAGAATGGATAAAATTAAGTTTCATAAAAATCGGAAAAAAAGAAAAGCAGTTTTTGAAACTCAGATAACTTGTAAGGATGTCATTTCGTTATTTGATTGTAGCGTGAATGTTCTAAAATCAAAACATTTCATTTTTTTTTTATTGAATACAAACCTATAATGAACATATAATATAGCCAAGTGAGCTACATTTTATGGTAACTTTAGACCCACTACGCAACGAAAATTCTCCTGGCCTGGTCGAAGATTCTCTTTTTGTGTTGGAGGGACACAACTTGATTCTCGCCCTTGGCGACACCAGTACATAGCTTTCACTTTACCAATCACGCGTTAATTTTTGCCAGATATCGTTCTCCATGCTAAAATGATTGCTAGAGGCAGTCGCGTAGACGCTTTATTCATCCTGTGCGCCTTGTAAAATTACTGGAGACTGTACTTACGGTTATTGTTAGTTATTCTGACATGTAATGTTGAATCTGTCTAGTGTTGTAAGCATATTTTATGTATTCATTTATAATACACCTTTATAGTACACATCTAAATTTGATATTACAATAGGCGGTCTTATCACTCACAGCGATCTTTTACAGACAACCATTACACGGATATTGTCAAATCGTTTTTTTAGGTAAGTAGGTGTACTTTTATAATACTCAAAATAATTAATAATATATAATAGTATAGTTTCACACATCACACACACGGCTGTCTGAACCCAAACTAGGCAGACCCTGTACTATGGTAACCAGACCGCTGATAAACATACTTATATATTTCTAAATACATACATAATATAGATAAATTACACCGAGACACAGAACAAGCGATCGTGCTCATCACACAATTATTTGTTCTGGGTGGGAATCGAACCCACGACCTTTGGTGTAGCAGTGAGGGTCACTAACCACTAGACCAACAGGGCAGTCATATAAATAGAAACCCTCAGCATACGTTCATATAGTACAATAATACTAACACAAATTTGTGAAAAAAGAAAATGACCGATCAACGCACAGATGTTCCTCAAGCGACGTGTGTGCGTTGATTGTTGATGCTAAGAACGGATTTTTAAAAATGCCACCCCTAAGGGTGAAAAATCTGGGTTGAAAAAGTTACTCTTGGTAGTAGCGTTTTCAAACTTACAGTAAATACTCTGTGTTAAAAGTAATGAAAAAAACTTTGTAACTAATTTTTCAGAAGTACCCTTAAATTTGTAAATTTTTTTATCTTTTTATTTATTAAAAAAAAATCTGCTGTTTTTCTTCTTCCGTGTGTGAATAGCACACACACTTTTGTTTTTTTTTTAAACATATCGATACCAAAATTTCTGTAATTCTCTATCAAATAATAATAATTAGACACCTTTTGTTTCTATCTTATATATATACTCGTAGGTGATTGAACGGGGTTGTTATAAAATAAGGTTGGGAAGTTATGTAACTAATTCAGCAACATAGAGCCGTGGAGAACAAATTAAAAAAAAAATCACCACAATGCATGCCTTGTGATGCAGCAAGCGATTCACTTTAAAGAAAAGTAGTGATCGGCTTACAGAAACTGGTTGCTGGTAGGAATGATATTTCAAGGATTACTAAAGTAACTTCAGCTAACTTCACTAGTCCAAATAGGACACTATTTTAATAATGCTGTGCTTTAACCCTTACCTATTAAGTCAGAATGGTTTTATTAATGTGTAACAACTTTCATCTCGCCTTCCTGAAATTTGTGAATGTGAATGTGTGTGTATTTTCGTAAAAAGGGACGGTATTGTGTAACACTAAGCGAGGATCCGAATTGGAAACGACCTTCACCCATTTTTGTAATGGATGAAAAATATATAACATAAAAAATATAAAATAATTGCAAGTAGTAGTAGTAGGCCAAAGTAAAAAATCATATATCATAGCATCATTAAAAAACCCCCGACACAAAAATAAAAATAAAAACTACAACTGCACCATGAGACTGTTCTAATAAGCCTACACATGGTATATATACTGTAATTTTCTGAGGAGTTGGCTTTGCCGCAGACTACTTGATGCAGCAGCAAGTTCCAGGTTACCATGTCGTTGAAATACCATCAAAGTAACAGTATAACAAATTTCAGATCAATCGGAACTGTGTGATGATCTTCAAAATCTATAGCTAAAAACTATCTCGATCACATCGGCTTTCGAATAAAAAAATCCGCATCAAAATTGATCCTTCCGTTCGGGAGCTATAATACTACAGACAGACAGATACACAGATTAAACTTATAACGACGGGTGGGTAAACGAGGGGTAAAAATATATGAGCAAATTTAGATTTTCGCGAAAATTTGTAAGTACCAAAATTTATCTTATTTTCAACTTTTTTATTTTTTGGAAGTATTCCTTTATTTGTGCTGTAAGACGTTTCTTTTTGCAAATTTCGTGATTCTAGGTCAACGGGAACTACATAGGTTTTCGACCCAAAACCTATAGGGTACTTCCGGTTGACCTGGAATTGTCATTTTTGGTTAAAAGCAAGGTCTTACAACACAGGTAAAGAGAAAATTCTGAAAAACCAAAAATTTGAAAATTAAGGTAAATTTTGGTACTTACAAGTTTTCGCGAAAATCTAAATTTGCCCATATATTTTTATGGTGTTGACTCAGGACCTTGATTTTTATGCACCTAACAGGGACTATAGACCTTAGTATCTGGTATAAATTTCAACTTGCTAAGTCTACCCGTTCCTGAGAAAATCGGTGGTGACACACGGACAAGAAAGTGATCTTATAAGGGTTCCTTTTTACCTTTTGAGGTACGGAACCCTAAAAATGACTTTTTATTGAAAATTGCATTCATGAGTGAACATTTTCTTCTGATTCTGAACACAACCGATTTTCTTCTGATTAATTTCGTTGCGGGTTCCAAGACACTTTAATTTTTTTCTGGGACTTCCCGAGTGTCAAATCTCGATGTGTTCGTGGGTGACTGCTATTGATCCTGGCAATCAGGAGCTACAGTGGTGGGCGTGTGGAAGGGATTGGTACCGTTAAAAGCCTATAAATCATGTCTACGAACGTGCGGTGGTCAATTTTTTGTATCCGCATGACTACTGGGTTGGCAGGTATAAACAGGTAAGTCGATATTAGTTATTTTCACTCATTTATTTGATAAATAAATTAAAAGAGCCATTGCTAGGGCGAAATCGGAGCACATCAGCCAGATCGGTGAGAGACTGGTGAGACTTCCTTCTGGAACCCGTGCAGTCTGGTCTCTTGCCTAGGCACTCCAGGGGAATTTCTGTAGCCAATCCTTTCCACCCCTGTAGATAAGAGATAAATCGTTGGCCTATGATGCCAAGGAGAAAGCCGATCTCCAAGCAAACTCTTTGCATCCAACTCGACTTTGGATGACGGGGGAAATGTACCACCGACCATACCGCGGTGCCAGAGCTATAGGCCGGTTCACAAAAAATCAGTGCGTAAAGCACTCTTTTCTCTCGACATTCATAAGTCGTGTGGGCCCGATGGAATCTCTTCTATCGTGTTGAGGACGTGTGCTCTGGAGTTGGCACCCAAGGCGTCGTCCCGAACTCCTGGAAGGTAGCGTTTGTGCACCCGATCCCTAAAAAAGGTGACCGCTCTGACTCGTCCAACTACAGGTCTATGGCCATAACTCCTTTGTTCTCTAAGATTATGGAATCCATAATCAATTCCCAGCTCCTCCGGTACTTGGTAGATCACCAGCTACTCAATGACCAACAATATAGTTTTACTTCTTTTTGCACTGCCTTTCTTACGCAGTTTGCTCCCTTAGTCGGAAAATAAAACACAAATGAAAGCGTGACTCGTGACCAATCGAAGTAACTGATGTACAGCTCTACCTAGACAAAAATAAGTTTAGTTATATAGTTTCACGCAGAATTTATTACTAAAATAACATTAAATTACTATTTTATTTTTTATTAGGTAGTTAATTACTTTTCAAAATAAATATTTCATTGCTATATGCATATGCTATGCTCATGAATAAAACACACTTATGTTACTCGTATATAATACAAATATAACTTTAGAAGTCATATTTATTTTCACACCTATTTTGCTATCGCAGCGATAGTTTTGTAATTTTCTTGTAATTTTTTACTACGATATTTTATATTGTACTGTAGTTAAATTAGGTAACAGCTGACTTCTAAATCTAGTATTTAAATGAAATGAAGGAAAAAAGTTAAACTGGTATACAATCCAACAATATGTAATATACTATATTAATAGGTGTTTGTCTTCAATCCCTTTCTAATATTTTTCCTAAATATAAAAACATTTTTGAGTTGAGTTTTCACACAGTTTCTGGGTTGTCATATGTTTAATTGGATATTTAAAAATGCAGCCACAATAAGAATATTTTTTTCTTTCATTGGCAGTTAATTTAGTTAATTATTCAAACCCGTAGTAAGAAAAATGGTATAAAAATTTCTATATAACCTAGGACATCGGCAATTTGCTCATAAAAGAATTAATCAGGTTTTATTGCCGCCATAAAGTGATTTAATTCAAAACGTAACTCATTATGTATATATGTCCATGATTAGTTTGGCGCTGGATTTACAAAAGAAAGGTGCCTCTTGCAATGATGCTGCTAAGAGCTGTAGCTGTCATTACCACTATTTTATTTGTTGAAAAATCCGTAGGAAGATTATGTGAGTATGTTTTTTTATATAAATTTTAAGTTATCACGACTTATTATGATCTATAATTTCTTTTTGTAAAAAAAAATAGAAAATTTGTGCAAGCTATACAAAAACCAACAAACTATTGTTTTCTATATTTTCCACACTATCACAAACTATAAAGATTTACCTTTAGAAATTCGTAAGTTTTGATTAAAAATAGTCACTCTCTATGATTATACCATCTGTTAATGTTGTTGTTGTTAAAAATATAAAATTAGTTAAAATTACCGTAATAAAACCCTGATCAAAGTACTCGTATAAGCGTAATCAGTAACTAAGGTGTCGGACTTGTGATTATATGAGTGTGGTTTCAAACCACGCCTATTCACATGTAGTGGCGTGGCGAAGGGGTTTTGCTACACCTGAGTTTTTGCTAAAATTTACGGAATCCGGTTACGGATCTTTGTGGTAGCCGGAAAAGTCCAGGCGCCTGCCTATAAAGCGCAGGCGCTAGTGGTGGAGAAGTATTCACATTCAGGGTCACGTAAACCCACTCTTAATACGAGCATTTAGCATAGCTGGGTCGGATAAGAATACTAGTGATGTGTCCATATAGTAAAAAAATCATATAAGTTTTTAACTATCCAACTTAATTAAAAACCATTACTAAACATTACTATTGTTTGAGATATTTTTGTAAATGACAAACCTGCACTGATTTTATTTAGGAACTGTTTATTGCATATGGATTCTATACAAATATATTTGACAGTTATACACCTAGCTATACTTATCTCTCATGTGTATGCACATATAATGTATATATTGAAAGCGTTGCAATATTTCAGAATAATATTCTCTGATCATAAATTTGGTTTATTGTATAATCAATCATAAAAACGATTCTAACAAATATATTTCACAAACATTGCAAAATGTTTAAGGTAAAATAAAAATAAAGATATGCAACAATGTTTTATTTTTGTTCATTAGAAGTGGCTTTTCTATAATTTACCTGAAAATGTTAAATGTTACATTATTGGATAATTCGCCAAGTTCAAAAGAACATAAAATGTATGTAGTTTCAATGAAAACCATCTCCTCTGATGAGATATACAGGACAAAAAATCGAAAAACGGAGAAAACGAACAGTGCAGAGCATGTTCCAGTCCTTTCAACATGTTTCCTTTTCGGCAACACTCAATACCTATTTTTTTTAATTGCAATGGTGACGTTAATGGACGAATTCTAACAAATTTTGAAATAAAGAGCAAACTGAACTCATTTTAGTTTTTATTCATCATCCAGTCACTTGGACTCAATCAAATATATCTCTTCATTTATGGATCTGTTGGAGGTGTAATTCTTGTATACGAAATGGATAAAGTTCGTTTTTAACCGGGCTAGTGCAAGTGGGGAGGCAGTGCGTACCGACGGCCACCGTGCAGGGCCCTTGCCATGACTGCGTGTGCTCAGTAGAGGGCGTGTTCCATTGCAAGCGGCGACAATGCTACGCAGTTGACCTCAGTGAGTAGACTAGTAATGTTATTTCATCTGTAGCTAATCTGTTGGCTATATGTTCATGTTCAGAACTCACTCAGAATCAGAACTTCATACCCATAAATTTATCTTATAAATAGTATACAGTGTTGTTTAGCTGCAGCCTGCTGTAGCATGAAAGTAGTTTTCATGTTGAGAAGCTTCGAAATAATCAAAATGCATATAAGTAATAAATTTGTAGATTTGTGTGTGACGTGATGGTGCGTACGTGGATATCATACGTGGGTGTATGAGTAATTGCTAATCCAGAAGTAGGTTAATAAATTAGTGTCACAAATAACTTAAAATCTTGAACGTTAACCGGAAAAGCATTAAGATTCTCAGGAAAAAGATCAAGAGTAACCTATTTACAGCAGTTTCTTGATAAACCTTATCCGTGATAATTACAGCCACGGTTCTGTAGAGAGCAGATTAGTTTGTTAATGGAAGTGCTTCGCAATTTGACGAAATTGTTATCACCTAACTCATGCTGACTAAAGCAAAAGTAAATTAATGAAGGAAAAAGTTTTCTTTCCTAATGAGAATAACGTAAAAAAGCATTTTTTACAGATGTAAAAAGACCGAAAGAAGACTGCCAAGCGAACTCCCTTTACAGAGAAGATACGATTTTTTGCACCTGCAGCGAGGAAGGCTTATGGAGGTCAGATGCATGCCAAGAGAGATTCAAATTTCTGCTACCTAAGACCTCCCATTTGCACTATCAATTACGCACCAGTGTGACCTGCGAGGCAGACATGTTGTACATAATAGACTGCAATGTATGCAGATGCGACACCACTGGATTCATAAATGTGACTGCTTGCACAACTAGGCACTGCACTTCAGGGCACAAAGCAGATCCATGTCAGATCGGAGACATTCTCCGGACAGACGAGCAAATCTGTGCTTGCAGCGATGTAAATTTTTACATAGATCGCCTTTGTGTTTCAATCCAAGATCATCCAGTCCAGAAGGTGTCTGAAGTTGCCTTAACCAAACTTGTTGAAGTTGGCGAATCTTGGAGACGTGTTGACGATTTGTTGTCTAATACATGTGACACAGAAGTAGTATACTCAGTTGATTGTAATAAATGCGTGTGTTCTGAAGCACATCTTATTTGTACAACGAAAATATGCACGCTCAGAAAAAAGATTGCATTAAGACGTGAGAAGTGGAGTCATAAGATAAAAGATATGTTCTACACTTTGCCAGAACTGCATAGTCATAAAGATAGCTGTATTCCTGGGAAGACTTATCGTTATCAATGCAATACTTGCTACTGTACGAAGGATGGACATCCATCGTGTGCTACTATGATGTGCTTGGAAAACTATGTTTTGGATGAGACTGCTTTGAGGGGAGCGTTGTCTTTTGGTTAAATAGTTACATTACGTCTCGTCGTAATATATAACTTGTCAATCATTAACTTCAAATTATCGTCATTTTTGTCGGAAGTTAATTATGTTTTTAAAATAAAATATAGACTGTGTTATTCGCTGATGTAGTTTCGGAGCCTATCCATTACAAACAAATAGTGTCGTGCTCTGCCGCAGAGCCACCCTGATTAATATCGATCAATTATATCTTGAAATAATGTACGTCAAACGTATATAATATACCTAGGGCCATTAGCGCTGTACGTACACTACGTGGCAAAATTATGAGCCTTGATTGTGGATCTGATGCGGAGCATATTCCCTAGGAGAGCCACTTAAAACACGTGGATTTAAAATACTTTTTTGTTATTTTATTTTATAGGTAGGTACATATAAATTAAACAAAATATCATCAATCAATCACAGTTCATACGTTGATCGGTTTAGCCACATATCTATCCCATCAGTCAGTCATTGCTTAGTGACATCTGTCATCCGTATCAAGTTATATAGTATGAAGTCTAGTAAGTATATTTTTCATTTTGGTTTTATACGATGAGAAATCAATTATAAGATTTTTGACACCTAATGTTACATTTAAACACTTTTTAATATCCGATAAAGAGAGACTTTTTAAACTGTTTGTCCAGGGTTTGTTGGTTTTGAGCTTCTTGAGTACTTTCTTGCTCTTCCCAACTACTCCAAATAATTTCCTAATGTTTAGTCGATATTTTTTCTTTTGATGTATGTAGTTTTTGCTCTTGTTTTGTTGTAAAGAAAGATTAACTTCAACATTTGCAGCAAATGAGAGTCTCAGAAGCCTGCCGGAAATTCGTGATGGAGACACCTGCAAAGATGGCAAATTGTATAGACAGAACTGTAATACCTGCACGTGTAAAGGAAACTCGCTTCTGTGCACCAAGATGGCCTGCCACGATTTCAGAATTCCGGACACATTAAGACAACAACGCAAAAAAAGAAAAGGTTAAAAATGATCATTAATTGGTCACATTCTTCGTATATTCGTCCAAAACGTAACGAATTTATGACTAATGCATGGTTTTTTACCACGCTTTTATAAGCATCACATGTATATTTGTAATGTAATCGTTGAACCTGATTTTTAACTAACTTCAAAAAGTCGCAATGACTTTGCATACTTATGGACCGATGACAATACAATAATTTAATAATTTTGACCGATTATCCTGATCAGGATCTCCAGAATTAACGAAGTTTTCAATATCTGAAAACTCTCTAGCGTCTTGTGTCACGCACTAAGGCGTGTACTGTAGCATACGAGTATGTCACTTACTTAGGTACTTGCTACTTTTAGTCTTTAATGAAAACGTAATCATCACTAAAGATTAAATAAACAGAAATAAATAGTTTAAAGTTTATCGTAAAAAGAATGGGGTTTTTAAGCTATTCAATAGATAAAATATATAGATATAAGCTTTATAAGATATTTAATAATATAATAACTGTGCTTTTACTAATATCTACCGATTTAATATTTAAAACAATTGTCATCTACATCCCGAAAAATAATTTCAATATTTCACACATCTCAGACGTCCCGCGACGGGCCAATTTTTGAGCCAAAAGCTTTAAGTCTAAGAATTTCTGACATAGTATTCTACTGAATTAGATTCTAAGTAGGACTTAAAGAATGATTTCTTTCAGCTCATAAGCGCTCAAAAGATGACGTAGAACAGCAACTAGAAGTAAGCGACAGGGAGTTTTATATGCTTCCCGAGCTGCCGCATCATGCTGCTGGTTGCACTCCTGACAAGAAATACAAGGTGAACTGCAATGTGTGCATCTGCAACGAACATAAGAATCTAATATGTGATAAAAAGATGTGCGTTGACCAAAAAACTACTCGTGATCTGGAGGTCAAAAAGAATTCTGGTAAGCAGTTTTACAACCATATATAGAATTTAGGATAATTAAAAATCGGAAAAAAGAAAAGTAATTTCTGAAGGTCATATAAATAAGGATTATTTTTTGAATTTTTTTATCAAATTTCGTTACGTTTCTTTAAATTTAAATAAACCTTAAATGCAATACATACAGCAACGAAAATCATGCTTCAATATCATATAGCCAAGTGAGCTAAATTTTATAGTATCTAGAAATTAACAAATTTTAAATCGTATAAATAAATATCGCAAGTTAGTTATGTCATACAGCGTGTAATTTTTGTGTAGTATATCATACGTACACAATATCTTGATAACTTGATGAGAAACCATGAACTTATTTTTAGAAGAACTTCTTAGAAGTTCAACATTTCTAGTCAAGCATACGACCTTCTAAATGACAATAAAATATCTTTTGTAAAAGGTAAATCGTGTACGACTAATTTTGAGACGAAGAAATGTGTAAAATGTAAATGTAAAAAGGGTGTGACGGAATGCGAAGCAATCACAAAATGTCAAACGGAAGAAGACCTGCAGGTGCTTTCTAAAGGAGCTGGAAGCATTCATAGGCTCACTTTCAATTACGTCGAAGAGAAGTGCGTTCCTGATGTCGTATATAGGTATGATCTTATTTACTACATTTAGGTTAATTCAGATCTATGTCTCTAATAACAAAAATATTTTTTTTCCAAAAACTGTCTAACAAAATTGAACAATGACAACATTAGAACAAGATGGTTTAGAATTTACTGCAGCCCTTGACTCTAAAAGCAAGGTATTAGAAGGATTGTAAGACTTGTAGATAGATTCTTTCTTAGAATACGGTTGGTGCAACATCCGCCTCCTTAATACTATAGTGTAAAATAGTTTTTATTTAATTATACTTTGATTGTGTAAATTATTTGGCTGTATCTATAGTCCACTGCTGAGCATCCTCTCTAATGCGTCATAATCCTTGGTTTTCCCTCTTCCGCATCCAATTCATCCCAGCCCCTATTTCAGGTCGCTAGACCATCTGGCTGAAGGGCGTCCTTACGAATTGTAATTTTGCTTTAATTTACTTACGAACTGTAATCCTGTAATCCCACCGAATCTACCTTTCGTCAATATGGTCAGACAGTGAAATTGAAAAATAAAAACATGTATTTAACAATAAAATAATTAACCCTTACAAAACATTCCAGAGAAAAGTGTAACAATTGCTACTGTCAACCAGATAAGACACTGCGATGTACCAACAAGATGTGTCTCAACTACGAACAAGCTCTTCAACTAGAGAAGCAAAGAGAATATCTTGAAGAACACGGAGTTTAAAAACTGTTTACCAACTAAATTAGACTACAAATACCAGTCACGAATATTTTATGAATTTGTTAAAAAAGACCCATAGAAAAGAAGCTTTCAGAACCCATCTTCATGATTATGTACAATTTTGTTAAATGTTAGTGCTAAACTACAGGGAACGAACACACAATCTGCACAACTTACTTAAATACAATTGTTAAATTACACAGCTCACAATGCTTTTATTGTAAACTAAAACTAATATTAAGATCACATTAAGAATAAACTTTAACTATTCCCGTTAGACCCTAAGTATAAATAATCCATATGTTTTTTGCTTCATCACAGAATTTATGTTGATAGTTTAGTTCTTAATTCTTGAAGGTTAGGTAGGGTAGGCAAAGAAGGTAGAGTTCTTGACCGTGAGAAGCATTAGCTTTGACAATCTGGGGGTAAATACAGAGTGGATTTAAGTCCTTAATCGTGTCCTTTAAAAGTTGCATTCTATTACTGAGCTGTGAAACAGCATCACGCATACTAAAATAATTGTGCATAAAATATCATGTATTAAAAGTTGTTTACATATGTATGTCTTGATGTCGGTTATTTTATCACAACCACTATTAGTAAAGTATCTTCAAATTATTTATAATTTAAGCTTTTAACAGGAAACTGACAATGGCGACCAAAAGGATGAAACCGATCTATTAATTAAGTAAACTGTATGTATCGTGTATTTTACGATAATAAAACGGGTTCATTGGGTTTGTGGCAGTTATTTATATCATTTCTATCGTTTCATTCTCGTTTCCCAGTTTGTATGTATGTTCTATGATTTGAAATGCGACTAGGAAAGAAATATTTTGACCCTATCTATCGTCTGCTTTTGGGATTTTTGTTGCTTACCAGTTGGTTTGTTTTCATTATAGTATGTGCAAAAAAATTATTTATTTACATAAATAGTAACATTAAAAATACGCAACGTAATAATATTCTATCTATTTACACACAAGTGTCAAAAAAATTCTCGGCTTCGTACCCTACAAGTAGCGTTCCAAGAAGGCTGGTAGCACCGCTACGTTGAATGTTTACGATAATTCTGGTCATGAGAAGTGTCGATTAGTCGTTTAGCTAGATCTTTATAAATAAGACGACCACGCAGACCCCAAACGGTTTTTAAACATAATTACAGAATAAACTTTTGTATTTACGCCGTTTAACGTTTCCTGTGGATGCAGCAGCAACACCGGCATGACCAACTATGCTTGTATGATATGATAAAGAGAGGGTATCGACGTAAGTTGTGCCCCAAGCCAAAGGCTTACCCATCTTCCATGGCAGCAACGACATACCACGTGGTCTCTTCCCATCATTTTGTACCAGATCATATCATATCATAGAGCAACAACGAGAACACCTGAGGCTATCCACAGGTATGCCCTGAATATTGAATCCTATGAACCCTAACAGACCTAGCCAAGACCTGTTGAATATATATATATATGTATATAGTAAGTGAGTTACACTTACTATCAGTCAAAGGCTTGCTTACTTCCACCAGGGTGACCGACGACTCTTTTCTTCTGTACGCACCTTTACAGCACATATTGAGATCTTATGCATTAAATTTTAAAATCTATAATAATATGAGAATATTGCATATCTTAATAACATACTCTTATTTGAAAGTCTCTCACTTTTCTCTGTCAATAACAGTTGAAATTTATGTTCATAACATAAACTTCAATAATTATTGGCAAAGATAACAACGAAAATTAATAAAAATAATAAATTCAAACATCTCACACACGGCCGTCTGCTCCCAAACTAAGCAAAGCCAATGCTATGGTAACCAAACTGATGATAAACATACTTATATATAAATTATCTACTTATATACTTATATATTAATAGTATAGATAAATTATCATACATAGAACAAATGATCATGACACAAACAATCTAAACTGGTTTGATAAGTCTAGGGATGAGAGGGGCAATATCCGTGGTTGTTCTACTTATTCATGGTTACATGTTAAAGTAGTACATGTTACATGGTACTTATATGGCGACCATAGCGTGTTTGTCAGCGGGAATTCAGTATCGCAGAAGAATCATTATCGTCAAATTTTTCCTTTTTAAATGCGCTCACTAAGCAATATGTCTAATGCAAGATTGACTCATAGAGTGAGGAGTGATGAGATATGAAAACTATGTGGGTTGAAGGACGACAGTGATCGATTGTATGGGTTGATAGGGACAGAAATTGAGAAAGCAATACTGCGATATACTGCGGGCAAATTGAAAGGATGAGCGAAGAGTAAGGACTAAAATATTTTACAAGGTGGCTCCTGTCAGTCGCAGAGCCGGTGCGGGAAGACTCTGTAAAACATTGACTGACTACGTTGTCAGTGGACTGAGATAGTGCCTTGTTAAAAGTACCATCAACCAGTGAGCGTATATGCAAGACCTGATGAAAATGGAAAAGTCGCAAGTTTTATTATGTCAGGACCGTGGCAAAAGGTATCGTCTCTGCTTATCTGGAATGGATATATGGCGTAACTGTAAGAAATGAGATGATTAAATAATTAATAGTAAGTATAAGGATGTATGTATTTGATACAATAAAATTTACCCAAGAAAAAAGTTCTCTAAAGAGCAAGTAGGATGGAGATGATTTTATTATTCACTCACCAGCTGGAAAGAAAAGCACTATGACGTAGTGCTTCAATTGTCAAGCTACAACGATCTGAGCTGCCATTTTAAACGCATTAAGAAAGTTAAAATATTCCGAATCTTTCAAGACTTTTTTGCTTAACTGTTTCTATGAAAATAAAAAGAAATATTGAAATATTAAAGGATCTAAAACCAAGACGAATAAATTCGATGAACATAAATATTTTATCTACCTATAAATATAAAATATAAAAATAAATTAAATTTACATAAAACAATCACAGAATACATCAATTTTAAAATTTAGTTTACTTTGTTAGTTCATAAATCTGCTTGCAGTAAGTGATGTGTTTACATATTAAATAGTGTTTAGTTATATTCCTAATATTAAATTATACAGAAATTACATATTAAGGTTTTTTATATAATTCAATTTCGTCAATCAAATTGATTCAGGTTAATGAATTACTGGTTTCCAGGCATTATCGCGAATGGTTATTTTCATTTTAATAACAACGCAATTAATTTTCGATTCAAGATAACGAAATTAAAACTATAAAATAACTTTCTTAGTTAAGATTTTTAACAAATAAATTAAAACACAGTTTAAATAATATGTTTTATTGATTTACATGCTTTCAAGGCGTAAAATTAAATTTGAAATATTTCTTGTCAAATTTTTTGGCTAACAAAGATTCACAATTTGTTAGAATATGTTAATGGCTGTAACATTTCTAACGTTATTAGCAAGAATACCGTATGGTGTAACGACATTTCGTAAGTATTGTTATATTTATGATTGCTTCTGCTGTCGTACGTCTTCTCATTCATCTTTCAACTCTTCAAATTAACCCATTCTTCTGCGTAAGTGACTTGATCTCCAGCTAGCAGGAACTATTTTAGCACCATACCCTTTAATTTCCTTCTTGAACTTTTCATATCTGATATATTTTAAAAAAAATGTTATTTTAAATCTTGATTTATTTCTAATAGGATCGTGCGTTCCGTCTACTCAATTCTTACTGAATGGCCGACTATGTACTTGCAACAGCAAGGGACAATACAATATTGCCTCATGCCAAATGATTGGACGACGACAGGCATGCCAGCCTGGACAGATCATATGGGAGGAATGCAGGCAATGCATCTGCCAAGATAATGGAAAGCTTTTGTGTACAAACACAGAATGCAACGAAGATCTAATCAAAACTCGTGCATCCCATAGGAGTGATTCAGCTGTTTGGTGTACTCCTTTTAGATCTTATTATGTGAATTGCACTCTTTGCGTTTGTCCAGCTTCTGGGAAGATGGCTGAAGCTCGATGTGCAACAGACTCTTCTTGTACTCTAAAAGGAACTTACACATCTGTGGACATGATCCCTCAATCTATTTGTATACCAAAAGTCATGTACTTATTACCTTGCCTTCATTGCTTGTGCTCCGATGAAGGGCTCTTTCTCAAGAACAAATGCACTGAGACATGCCAAAAGGCACCTCCATCATCTAAACGGTGTATACCTAAAAATTTCTATAGAGTCGGCTGTAATATTTGCCGCTGTCCTGACAACGGGTCTCCAGACAATAATGTATGTTCTAAATTAACTTGTACACAAAACACGAAATTGACATCTTTAACTTATTTGAGAAATAAAACATCGGCATGTGTACCCAACAAGTATACGAAGCCCAGGTGCCTTTATTGTGAATGTAATAGTCATGGCAATGTTAACGAGCAGGCTTGCATGGAGCAGGAATGTTTGAAATTTGAGGATTTTAATTATGAATCTATTAAAAGCACATGCATTCCAGGGGAAATGGTCCCTACTTGTGTAGAATGCTTCTGTCCTCGAAGTAAACTTACCATAGAAAAGTATTGTACCAGAGTGTGTTCGCCTCAGAATAGACTTGTTATTGTAGAAGCTATGTTAAAGGAGAAAGTCTCTCTCATAGATCGAAACACAGTTAAAGAAACAACGGGCACTGATTCTTGTGAACCAAATTCCCTATTCCTCGATGAAGGACGATACTGCCTATGTTCTAACAATGGGAACACAAACTACAAACATTGCACATCTGTCTTGGAAAATACAGTGCCTAAAAAACCTTCAAAAATATTTATGGGTAACGACATGACAGGCTCACGAAAAATAGATTTTAACATTTCATGTGAACCGAATACTTACATCGAATTCGGTTGTAACTCTTGTTACTGTACTAAAAGTGGAAAGATTGATCCAAAATGGTGTACGAGTGACGATTGTGAAGCCAAAAAAGTAATTATGGATAGCAATGTTAACGTTCGTTCAGGTGCACCTAAAGGACCTAAAGTACCAGTTCCTAGTGCTACTTGCATTCCTGGTTCTGTTAGTAAAAAAGACTGTAATTTCTGCATCTGTGGTAGTTCTGGTCTCATTGTTGATACGGTGTGCACCAAAAACGTCTGCAACGGGTTGCAAGAATCTTCTGCGCAGGACCTGCACTGCGATCCTTCGTCATATTATACTGTTGACTGTAACATGTGCTACTGCCCTTCAGATGGGGTCAAGAACGTGGAAAAATGCACCAAGAATCAATGTGAGGTGAATTTCTTGCGTACAAATTCATGCACACCAGGACAAATGTTTAGTTCAGACTGTAATATCTGTGTTTGTCCTCCAAATGGAGAAAAGAAAGATAAAATCTGCACAAATAGAACATGCTTTGAAAATGATGCTCCTTGGAAGAAGATATTCAAAATATCTCAGAGTGTGTTTAGAAATCATTTAGTTGAAGAAACGACGAAGAATTTTGAGCCTTGTTTCCCTGGCGAAGAGTTCGAAGTAGGCTGCAAAGTGTGCGTGTGTCCTGATATGGGATTAAAGGAATACGCTTCGTGTAATTCTATGTTATGCGAGGCACAAACTGCTGTAAGTTCTTAACTAACGTAAAAAAAGAACCTTGTTGTTGATCAGTTTTTATTAAAACCCTTTTTCTTTTTTTCTTTTACTTGAACTAGCTGCAACTTTTTTATCATTCATGACATCTTAGGGCCATTTGATGACATTTAGACCAATAAAGTTTCTTGTTTTACTATGGCCACTCACCACAGATTAGGTAATCTGTGCCACTCACTAACCTATTGGTGGTATATTTAATGATGCCATTGTATTTATCTGTAAATTGCAAAAGAGTGGTCATTAGTTTGTTTGCCCTTTCTTCTCATAAGTCTCAACCCCTTGGAAACGGGTGGTTATGGATCGGCACAGGCATATTATAGATTTTGTAAAGCCTTATTTTTTTCCCTTACTATCTGAGATAGACAGACAGAGATTTTTGCTATTGTGTGTGTGTTGATCTACGACTTTAGAGTCATATAAAAGACATATAAAAGACGATTTCCAACAACTTTTAATTTTTTGATGTATGTAGTATTTAAAATTTGAATTTGAATAACCATCAGTATTTGAAACCCGGGTATTTGAAACAGTATTGATTGTGACACCTGGTAACAATACTGCTGAGAAATTACAGGAAAATGTAAAACCATGTTACTTTCTTCCTTATCGATAGATAGAATAGATTCTGGATAAGAAACCATATAGAATGTCACAGTCATGGCGAATATGACACACTATTTCAAGAGTTTGCTGGGAGAAGGCAGCTCGGAACACATCTCCCCTCCTCTCCGCTTGATCCATTGCCACCGAAGCTAAGCGGAGAGAAGACGTAGAAATAACGGAATCTACTGGTTATTCACAACACATCTCCTCTCGTCTCCTCTCCTCTCTGCTTTGGTGGATACCGGGCCTTAATGTGTGCGCGCGGAAACGCCAGTAGGCGCGGCCGCCGCCGACGTCCCGCGTAGCCGTCCGGGACACAGACCCACCCTCTCTAATTCATTATTATGTATCCCCCCCCTCTAATCACCTTAAAGATATAGGTTAAGAGTGTTAGTTCCCTCCTGATCCTCAGTTTATTATATCTAATGTAAACAAAGTAGGATACATTAATGGATGAAAAGTATAAACCCCGTACAGCTTCATGTAAATAAATCTAATAAATTTATTTAGCACACGCTCAAACATTAGACAAGAAGAAACAAATTTTCTTTTATTTTTCTAATTTTGTTCACTAATAAGAACATTCTAAGAACTTCCTTCCCAATTTTCATGAGATTGTTGTCATAAGAGATTCTATCATCGAGCGGTTAGGACAATACAGTCATTATAATCCATGTATTACTCTTCTGTGATTTGCATAAGCGAGGCACCTATTGCAGCCAACACCAACTGGTAAACCTTTCTTACTAAAAAAAATACCTCTCAAAGCAAAACTGGGTCCGTGCAAGTACTTCCTCCGTAGCAAAGTATTTCAGCAGTTTATGTTGTTCATTCCAAGCCTTAATTGGTAATCAACAGATAATAACGAGATAAAAAGGTAAAAGAAGTGATGGATGGTAAAAGACTGGATAAAAAACATTTTGTTTCTATTTCAAAACAATCTTATCCATCTATCTGCATTACCTATGTGAGATATCTTATATCTTGATATTTTTGTTCAGAGGCCGCAAGTTACTTCATATTACCGGATACCGGGAATGTGAGTGAATACCTGGTTTGGTACCTAAACTCACACATACTCATTCATCTCAACTAACACATTCGACTACTTTTTTCTTTAGAGAAGTCAACGGCGAATCATTCTTACTCAATTCTAACTCGTGTTATTCTCTGATTGATGATGATATCGATCATCATCCGCCTTCTTCCTTCGCCATCAAGACTTCTGCCAAAAATTTCTAATCTACATAAGAACCTAACTAAACTGGGTTTATTGTTTGTTACGCTTTCAATGCTCTACCGATCATCATGAAACTTCCTATTCAATTTGTTACAAGTATAGAAACATAATTCTTAATAAAAAAATGACCTCTCAGGTCAGGGGTTTTATTTTTCGTAATCTGCAATTTTGACGTTTAGTAAAAAAAAGTAGTTTGGCTTGAAAGTCATCTAAGCTATTATAAGCAAAGAGTATACAAACACTTATTCTCAGGATGAAGAAGAGAGTTTAATGGAAGATCGGCATCGTAGAAAGACTAGGAACTCAGACTTAGCTCCTCGTAGGGTGATTAAGTATTCCGAGTCTGAAGAGGATGACGATCATTCCCATGATAATGATGAATTTTGCAAAACTTACAACCTCACGGATAGCGCCGAAAACAAGGAGTGCACACCAGGATCTGAATATATCATAAAGTTAGTAATATTTGAAAGTTTAAAAACATAAAAAGAAGTTGTATTCAACCGAAAGGAATTTTATGTGAAGTATTCACAAGACACGCACTGTAAATACCTCTTTCTGTATGTTTCCTGGTACGTATTTATGCCTAAACCGCTGAGCCTTGAAGGGGCACTTGATAGTTTTAAAGTAGAACATGAAGGCGTGCTTAGTAGATACTCTTAGCAGACGAAGTTAAAAACACCAACTAGTATCGGATATGTGATTGAAAAATAGGGGACGAATGCCGTTTCATGTACTATTACGAAGTTTTTGTTAATTATCTGTTTTCATAACTATTATTTAGAGGTAGTTTAGTAAAGGCGATCATATAGGTTCACCCATTTTATTTGAGAATGAGACTTACAGACTTTTTTGACATAGATTAATTAGAATCATTTATTTCTCAAAAAGTACAAATTACGTCACACAAGAAACCAACAGTAGGTACATTTACACATATGTAGTTAGATACGAGTACCTTTAGTATCGATTAATCGGAATATTTTCGTTCCTTCTATTATCAATAGGGAAAATAACTCGGTGATATATAACAAAAAACTGCTTAACCCCGTTTTTCTGTGATTCCGTGATATTCCGCTGAGCTAGCCCATATTTTACAAGCTGTCCCAAGTGTAGGTTTAAAAATTTAATTTAAAATTGAACTTAAGTATTTAAGCATAGCTGAATTATATTTCAGGTGTCGAGTTTGCATTTGCCCTTATATGGGTCCTATTACTCTGTTTTGCCGACCAATGCCGGTGGATCGCTACTGTGAACAAGCTTACCCTGGTTTTAATTTCTTGCCCATGGGTCGTCGGAATGAAAAATCTGGTAACTGAAGTTCAATATATACCGTATATACTACTATAAGGGTTTTCATAGATTTTCATTATCTGAAGATTCTTTTTTTTTAAATATGAAAGTGTTACTTATTATGTATTGTTAAAAAAGTAAGCAACAAACACTGACGTACCCAGAAGTGTGCAGGTTAGAGAGTCCCATTGGCTTTTGGATCTTTAAGTAGTAGATTTTAAACGCTTCTAAGGGAGCCCTCTATTGAGCTACAGCTGGGTCCAGTCATACAATAAAAGTTTGCTATAGGTTCCTGCAGTTTCCTGTTAGTTTTCTTAAAATTTGGTACAACAAAGTGACCGAAATTTATTTACTAATATTTCCAGGTAACTCGACGTTAAACAGCACCATTACACGTCCAAAAATTAAATATCCGATTACTATACACATGCCTCATAATCACACAAAATACAGGTGTGATGTTGACGGAAGAATAGAGGAAGAGTGTTTCATTTGTGATTGCGAGAAACACGTGCTAATTGAAGAGCATTGCTACAAGAGCGACTCTGCGAATTGTACCGATGTCAAAGTGCCAAAATTTATTAAACAAGAAAATAGATTATATCCGCGTAATATTTTTTAATAAATAATGGAAATTTGCTGAATGATTTGTTAAAAGTGTTAATAAATACCCCACGTCCCACGATATGAGCCTCTAATCTACTTTAGATTGCAGATGTGAAAGTAAGTCGGTTTAATTTTTTATTATCTAGCAGATTTTATCAAAAGTATTGTTTTTGAGAGGCAAAGAATTGATCAATAAAATAATATAGGTGGAAAGCCAGAAGCTGGTTGTATTTAAATAGGTATTTTTTTCGTGAACATAGATTTCTAACCTCCTTTCTAAGGAGAGGCCTTTGTCCAGCAGTGGTGTTGAAGGCTGTTGATGAGCACAGATTGCCGCTACTCACTAACAGTGATCATGTTTTCCTTTTTTATTTGATTACTTCTAAAATGTTAAGGATACATTTCTCAACAAAAAACCAATTGAAAATTATACATGAAAATACATCAGGTCACGTAACACCTCAGTTTAAATAATTATAATTATTTCATGACATCCAGGGTATGAAGGTACTCCTTTCTAGGGTATACCTGGTTCCCCGCATATTAGTACCCGAGACGGCGTGCGGTTTTAGTCGGTCCGAGTCCGAAATGCCACCGATAGGTGGTATCCGAGGGGATTTACGCACGGAAAAAAAGGGTATGAAGGTACTTTAAAAAAAATTGAGAGACAGACAAAAAATCATTAAAAGCGCTAATCCTAACGTAAAATCTTAAATACGGATATGAATCCGAACGTTAGTTATGTTTAATACGAATTAACACCTTAACTAGTCAATAAATTATCAAAAGTAACTTTATCAGGCATATAAAAAAGGTTTCAACTATTTAATTTATTTAAAAATCTACATCAACATGAACGAAGTCGTATGCAAAAGTTACAAAATATATAAAGTACCTAATACTCCTAAAATTCCTTATTAAAATTTATATAAAATATATACATATAAAAAAAGAATATTTGTATTGTTATTCTCTATATTCAACTTTAATTTACACATAAATCAAGAGTTCGTTAAAATTATCGGGACCGAGCTGTTGGTTACGGTTCCAGAGACAGGAACCCCCCACAATAGGCTATGCAGACGATCTGACTATAATCATCAGTGGTCCCTTTGAGAGCGTTATATGCCATCATATGAGACTCGCACTGAAGATCGTTGAAAAGTATTGTGTGACACACTTGACAGTGAACCCATTGAAAACAGAGATGATCATGTTCACAAACAAACGAAGTCTAGGAAATCTCAAACTTCCTAAACTATTTTAAACCCAACTGGCTCTTACATAAGAGCTCAAATATCTAGGAGTAATACTAGACAGTAAACTCCTGTGAAATAGGCAAATCGAAGAGAAATTAAACAAAGTCTACATTACCTTCTGCCCATGGAAGCGGCTACTCAGCAAAAGCTAGGGACTATGACCAAAGATTTCACTACGGCTCTACAGAACAGTCGTACGACCAATAATCACGTACGGTGCCCTTGTCTGGTGGCAAAGAACAGAGCTCAGCACCGTCATAAATAGATTGCAGCAATGCTCTGCAGTCATTGGCTGCATACGCACTACGCCAACTGCCGCACTAGAGGTGACTCTTGGTCTGTCCCCCCACTGGACTTGTTCATACAGCAGGAGACAGTCAAGACGATCTTTAGACTCAGACACTTGGGTCTATGGCACAAAGGCGAGAGATCCCTCCAAATTATGGGATAAATTAGTGGAATACGAACCACTAATAGCAGCCCCATGCGACAGGATCTCAAAACACCATATTTTCACAAAGAAATACCACATTCAGACACAAGAAAATGACCGAGATCAATCTGGCATAAATAAGGTCCGAATCTAAACGGTTGGTACTACGACTGGGTCAGGAACTGGAGCTTCACAAGACCCAAACATGAACATATTACTAGCGTTGGCTCACAACAGTTCTATATTCCAATGCGAATGTATGGCAATAACTTAAGGGTTTAAGAGCACAGTAATCTACACGGGAATGACGCTGCAGATGAGTTGGCAAGGAGGAGCTTAGCAACCCCGGCCACCGGCCCTACTACACTCCTGCCACTGCCTTTTAACCAACTATGATCCTGGGCTAGACAGCTTCTGGAGGGAGCTTTTTGGCTCATCTAGCCAACCTCCACAACCCACAACCAATGCCAATACCAACCTCTCACAATACGTACGTGCCGTATCGAAAAGAACTTCTTTCTGCATGATGTCCTTAATCCAGCTGTCTATTGTGAGCCTTGAAGGTGTTGGTTGAGATTCCTTGCAATCAACACATTGGCCATATTACTGTTATTTTAATAACTCCTTTAATGATATCCTTCTGTTAGAGCTATATATTCTAATATCATCATTATCAGAAGAATGAAGTGACATTTTTACGGAAACAACATGGAAAATAAATAAATTATGTTATTATAAATTAATATGTTGTTTTTACAATTACCGGTATCTATGAGTACTTGCACAGCATGAGTACAACAGCAATGGCACTCGCGCTTGCCCAAAAACAAAATCCTCCAGGGACTCATAGTTGTTTGGATTTCTTATGGCTATGGCTTAAATAACAAATATGTGAGCGATTTTCATTCAAAGTGTCAGTGAAGCGATGTCTTACGACATCACTGACGATAAAACTTAAAATCGAAAACAATAAATTCTGGTTAGTCAATTAAAAGTTCTCTGGTAATCTCTTTTCAATCAAATGTTTATGGGACGCGCCATGTACAAAGTATTTGTTATACATTTGTGTTTATACGTATACATTTATACAGTGTCTACGAGTATACGTAAGTATAAAAATTTAAAATATCGAAGTTCTTTTAGAGACAGGGGGGGCAACAAAAGATTTGTGGACTCTGCGCGTTTATCTACGCGGTAGGCGCGTTACATGATCCGGTACAGGGGTCAAACAGACTCACCTGATGATAAGCGACTGCCGTCACCCATGGGCACCTGCAACTGAAGAGGCACAAGATTCCTGCCTGTTGATTCCCTTCTTCTCTCAGAATTAGAGAGGTTGGGACTACGGTAACTTTTCTCACTCGGTTAAAACCACTAAAAGAAGTGCTTAGCATCGGTTTTCTGTGAGGCTGTGGATCACTCCGGACAAGCCAGCCCATATGTGGCGAAGCTTGGATCTCTCACTGTAGACCCCCTATCTTTACCTTTCTCACGAATTTCATCGTTAACACCTAAAATTGTAAGCTATCCTGTAGCTTCATACATCTCAGTGTATGCCTGCATCCAAGTACAATAAAAATAAAATGTAATATCCATTTCATTTGTTTTATATCTGTTCATTATATTTCTTTTACAGAACAAAATAATGGTAAGTGCAGAAATTAACTACCAAATAACCGTTTCTCCTTTATCATAAACAACATAAAAAAGACCTAGAAAAGAAAGATAGTTCTTCTGAATAACCAATAGAGATTGTATCAGAGTTGAAAGTATTTAATTCTTGAATCTTAAAGCCAGTTCCATCTCATGTAGTTCAGACGACTATGCTAAATAGACCAAATCATTGTTACTTTTTTGCTGTTTTTTTCAGAAGTGTTTCACTATCCAATAAACTCATGCCACATTGGTGACGTAATACAAAATGAATGCGTTCAATGCTTGTGCACTTCAAATTCCTTCTTCGAGTGTAAACTCGTCGATTGTAATAAAACTAAAGGTGAGTAGATGTAGCTATTAAAGATTTTTTCAGTTCCATAATATACAGAAATTCTCATCATGGCAATAGAACCTTATCTGCATAAATTTAACATAAAATGACCATCCATTAATCAGCTCTATTTTAACTCAGTCAATGTTTTGACACCAAGTTTCAATTGCGTAACAAAATAATCTTATAGACAAATCAATTACAACCACACTAATATTTTTCAGTCTTGGAAGAATATGACGTGCGGCCTGACCAAACATGCATTCCAAATCAGTTGTACATTCAAAATTTAATTACTTGCATCTGTAAGAAGGATGGTACGTGGCCCCACAGAAGCTGTCTTGAGACGTTCTTTTCTTTACCTTCAGCTAAACTTGAAAAACATTCTTGTAAACCAAACAGTTATGTAAAAATAGATTGCAACATGTGCAGGTGTGGTCCTGACGGAAATATTATCAAAAACCGTTGCACTAAAAATATCTGCGAAGTAAAGCCGTCTCGCAGAATTGACATGGAAGATAACTCCAAACAATCTAACGTTTACAGCAACTGCATACTCAAAAACTGGTACTCGCTAGCTCCTTGCCAATTTTGTTACTGCGTAAACGAAAACAAACTCGTTTGTAATACTGGTCATTATTACGCCAAAAAACTTGAAGTTGGTCAATATAATATGGAAATTTGCGGTTTGGATATGTTAAATGAAGCTATGGAACTTGTACCCGAAGAAGAAAAATATCTAAGGCAAGGGATACCATTTGATACAAACGTACTAACTGCAACTGTACAAGAAACTACGACGATACAAAGTATTACCATTGAAAACAATGATTTAAAGAATATAAATACATACAAGCAGAACAGTGATAACAAACAACAAAGCAGTGATGAAGGTGAAATGAACGGGACTGGTGAAAATGAAGATGAATCAGGGTCTGACGAAGACGACAATACAGATAATTCTCCACCAGGTATGATTGACATGGGGAAAAATGATAATTCGGATACAAAATCTGACGATAATGACGACACATCTAGTAACGAAGATAATTCAAATGACAGTGATTCAAAAGATGATGATTCAAATGAAATAAGTGTCGATATAACACGTACCAAGAAGGGTAAAGTATCTTCCGAGTCACTTGATGAAAAGTCGAAGAATCAACGACCAACAACAAAGCAGGCTTTTGAAGATCTTGAATTTGTTGACAATACTTTAAAGATTAATGTGCCAAACGTACTTAATAAAGTATTTCAAATGGCGCTGAGGAAATCCATGGTGTCTCTGAATAATGAGACACATTGTACTCCAGGTGAAACATATATGAATAGTTGTAATATGTGCTTTTGTTTGAAGAATGGGAAGGAGCTATGTACTGCTAATAAATGTCCATCCAAACCTTAATCCTCTAGATAAAAAATAAAGAAAGACGAAGAATGCCAATGACGTATTTATAATTTATTTAAAACTAATATTTTAAGGTAGAAACCCAGCCGGAACCTAATATATCTAGTGCACCTATTTATTATTTTATTATTAATAGGTATATCAATGACTTATGACTTGTTTATAGTGAAATTGTCGCTAAAAAAGTACACAACACTCTTTTTAAAATTGTACCTTCAACGGTACAAGTGATATTATATAATAATCATTAAACTAGTATCACTAGATCCATTGATGGTACCAATTATACAAGTGGTGTCACTAGTACCATCAATTGTACTACTGACACAAGGGGACAACTACACAATTAGGTTAGTCATAAAAGTAAGTCAACAATTTCTTCTTTACAATGTCAACTTTACAACTCTGAGGATAGAAGATATAAAATTCTTCCTTTGTGTTAAAAAGACATAAAAGGTAACTGTTTAAAAAGTTATGCAAAATATTTTACTTTTTATGTTATGTATGCCATCTATAAACAAGCAGATGAGTCACCCGATAGTAAACCACCACTCATTGTAATTCATGAGACACAAGTCAGTTGCAGCCTTTTGAGCGTCGTCCCCCCACAAGAGTTACCTCTCCCCTGGTTTGGACGTCCTGATACCTCACTCATTTAGTGAAAATCAATAAAATAATTGCTTTTCTGTGAGGCCGTAGTACCACTCCGGTCGAATCGGCTCATATGAACCGAAGTATGGTTCTCCGAAAGACAACCTAAACTAGTGAGTACAATCCTTATAGAGACCAAAAGCTGCTTTCTCGCATATGTGTACATCACATCACATGCAAATAACCACATCAAATCATAAGCAAATTGTATTTTAAGAATACTTGTATAATAATACTTTATAGTATAATAATTATCCGTGTAGTGACGGATTAAGAATACGGAATGTCACTACCCCAATTCATCCCGTGGGTTAGTAAGAGCCGACTAAGGGCGCAAAACAAAGCAGGACACCAGCACAGCAAACAAAATGAAAACTTGACACAAACCCTCGGACCGTTACCCCGCCGGGGCTCTCGTTCGGCGGGGCGGTGTGTCGGACTCGAACCGACTAAAACCACACGGTGTGCCCTCTTTGCGCTTCCAGTTTAGGAGGGGTCCAGGTAATTATCGCCTTCTGGATCCCTCCCAGCGCCGGCCCGCTCCTGATGCGGGCTCCGTCTCAGTGGACCCTCTCTTTAGGCGACGTCCGGCACACGCGGACGCCGCCCCCTCGCGGCTGGCCAACTATACCAACCCGTCTGGCCAGCGTGGTATAGTAGGCCAAAACCTCCTTTCTCTATAGAGGCCTATGTCCAGCAGTGGACTATTAAAGGCTGTTGAGGATGATGATGTGTATAATAATAAAATATTATACTAAAATGATTGTAAACTGAATATAAAATGTTGTAGGTCGGGAAGACTATTACTATTTAACCTTGTACTTTGTACAAAACTTAATGTTCCAGACATTCTCTACTAGCCAGTCTTAGAGTAATGTAGAAATGTAATGCGGTAGGAATTTAAGATTATTATCAAAACTGTTCAATCATTAATTGTTTCTCTTTCGCATATATGTCTTATGTACACCTACTTGGAAAGTAATATCCATAAGAGCGTACACTTACTTGGAAAGTTATATTTGATGTTGTCTAGAGACGTATCTTTAAGCGTCAATAATAACAAGAAGTTAATTTCCAAAAACAATAAAACCTCAAACAATCTGCCAAAATCAATTAATCCTACATACTTAAAGTTACGTGTCGATGCGAAATTAAAATAAACCTTTTTTTTAAATCGAAAACTTGTGTTAACAATGGTGTTAGATATATTAATTTTATTAGTTCTCAGCGTGTCTGAGGTATGGCTACGTTCACAACAACGTAAGTTTTTATAAATAGTATTGCATACTATATAAGTTGCAAAGATAAGATAGCATGCATCACTGAACATTTCAATTTGAGTGCAGCCATATCGCAAATATTTCCAGTGAAATCTCTACCAGAGTACTGCCACTACTGGGGAGGGGGGTTGGGATTGGTCTCTTAGTAAACTTACCCAAGCAACGAAAGAATTGCCTACCACTGATTGTCTGTAAGATCGCGGTATATCTCCTGTCGAGTCAGCACATATAGCTCTACGTGGCTTTATATAATAGTAATAATTTTTAACATCAAATTAAGTACAAATTCTCTAACATAACAGCATTTTCTTAGGTTAATTACACAGTATAGTCAGGCTCTGGTACCCACGATAAGATTAAACTTGTGTTGTGGGTACCAGTCCCCCTCTCACCCAAAACTATTTTCTAAATTTTTATTAATATTCTTGCGTGTGAGTGTGCATTCATGTGTGAATGAATATAGATTTAAAAGTAAAGATTTGTGCGTCTTCTTTCAGCGGTAAGTGAGCGATTGTGGCGTGAGCGCTGCTCTAAACATGACCTCGCCCTTAACGACTGCAATTGGTGCCGTTGTGGCAGTAACCGGCAGTACGTCTGCTCTGCACGGGTCTGCTCAACAGTCGACATGTTCGGACACTTTAATGGTGAGTGAAGATATAATGCCAATCCTATCAGCATTGTCTTCGAATTCCTCATCACAGCGTAAGAAGTACACCCTAATATTTTATATAAGACAATCTTTAATAAGAGTGGGTAGTCTGTTTAGACAGCTCTTTATAACAAAATGGTTACTAATATCTGTTGTTTTTTATTGTTCAAATTTAAAACAGATTGCTTCATTAATGTCAATTTAAAAATAACAAAAAAAGAAAATTTTTAGTTGTGGTGATCCAGACATGAAGAAAAAGATAAATCAATGGACCATTTTTTTAAGTGAGAGATTTTTTTTATTGTCAGTACTTAATGAAGATTTTAATGCTTTGTTTGATTTTTAGTTTTGAGTGTAAATTAAATTGTTTTCGAACCATGACTGGTCAAAGTATAGACTAGACCCCTATCGCTTTCTTTAGCTTTTTTCAGTTTTTTTTTTAAATCATGTTTCTAGTCAACATTTTCATCAAAATCACATGTAATTTTGTCCTTGTATTGTACCAAGCATTTCAATTTGCAGATGCGATTCAATCCATGGATGTAGGCATGCAAGGTCATGGTGTCTGGCGCTCCAAAGGCACTGCCTGTGAGCCACGGGTACACTATCAGAAGAACGAACTACTTTGTGTGTGCAATGAGGACGGAAAATGGCCGAACGCTGTCTGCCGAGACGTTTTCCAAGTTCTCCATACCGTAATTCCAACGAAATATACTTACGCTAATAACCAGTCCTGTGTTCCTGGAAATCTCTACCAAATAGATTGTAACGTTTGCCTTTGTGGATCAAAGGCACAAATCGACCCACATGCATGCACTAAAAGAAATTGCGCTAATGATATTTCTGTAACTGTAAAAGATACGAATGATTCCAATAATTACGCAGTGGATGAGATCTATGCAGTCTGCGAACGAGCAAAAACTTACCAAATAGGCTGTAAAACTTGTATCTGTTTACCAAACAACAGACTCCTTTGTGACAACTGCACCTCAATAAACAATGTTCCAAACAAAGTTCAACTAAAAGGAAACAATAACGTCAATATTTGTTCTAATAAAACACCCGGCAAGTATTTCAGAAAAGACTGCAACATTTGCTACTGTGACAAAAAAGATGTACTATACTGTACAGTTTTGAAATGTTTAGAAAACGGTAATGATAAAATATCAGTACCTTCGACCGAATTTGAAAGAGTAGAGCCCCCGGCAGACGACAACGATTGCGTACCAGGTACAACTTATAAAAGAGACTGCAACACTTGTCATTGTTTCAAGTTTAATAGTGCTAAATACTTTGGGTGTACGTTGAAAACGTGTGCCGGAAGTAAATCAGTCCGAAGTGAAGATGGTTGTGTCGAAGGGACGAAATACGAAAAGAATTGTTTGATTTGCGTCTGTGTAAAAGAAGAAGATGAAGTAAAAGAAATCTGCACTTTCAATGAAGAGTGCAAAATAGAAAATAAACATTCGAGAACAAGAGAAGATGAAACCTCCTTAGATCTTTTGCATGGGTACTGCGAACCTTTACATGTTTATAAACAAGACTGTAACAAATGCAGATGTCTGTCCGATGGTAAGACGGTGGCTTGTACATCAAAAATATGTTTGCAGAAACAAGAGATTCCTAAACCAATGGTAGTAGAATTTATTCCATTCATTCAAAAGGGCAACGTGTGCCCAGAAGGGCACAGGTATAAGGTTGATTGCAATTTTTGTCAGTGTTTGTCTAACGGTAACGCACTTTGTACTACAAAAACTTGCGCAGGTAGATCTCGAACATGAAAGGCTTGAATATTGGATTATTGTTTTATTTTACTTCTTCTTCATGTGACATATAGAAAACATCTAGTATCTCACAGGTACTCTATGTAAACACTGCGATAATTGGTCATTTTAAAATTAGAAACAAGTGGAAAGCAAAAAAATATCAAGATGACCAAATGGCTTTGATGTTTTTAACTGATCACTCACACTCCAAGCCGGTAAAATCCGGCCTAACAATATCTGCAGTGATCTAGTTGGAGGTTGGAGTTCATTATATTTATGCCACACACACATCGGTATACATCAGGCACTGTGAACATGTTTACGACAGATTGTTGTAGCTTGTCGTACATAATTCATTCCCAACTATGACCGTGCAGTATTTGAGAGTACCTGGGATTTCTTCGTGTTGTTTAAGTTTATGTAAGCAATTGAATAGGCAAAATAGTAATAAAAGCACTTTGCGGAAGATTTGAGGGGGGGAGGTGAATGCAGCAAAAAGCCTTGCAAAAATTCAATTTCATTTGAACTAAGGGGTCGTAAGTCTTTGCTTAGTTTGCTCAGTCAAAATAAAACAACAGAGTATGTACAATAATATAATAGTAGAACATTTCAAACAACACTTCATCGTCTTTTGTTTAAACAATACAATAAAATCATTAAATTACAAACATAAAAGCACTCTCCAAACGTGTTATTCGATAATAAACTTTGTGCTCTTCACTTTAACTTATTATTTGATTAACTCGGCTCATGCACTACTGTACACCCAACGTAAATAAAATCTCCGTTTCTATTTGTTGCGATTTTTTTAGCGTTCAATATTAATGTCACAAAGATGTCAGCATTTCGTTCATGAATAAACAAAATATAAATGGAATAAGTAAAAATTAGATAATAAACTAACTTACAATATTATATCCACGATGATACACATTTGGAAAAAAATCCTCCTTAAAATTGTACCGCATTCGAGGCAAACATTTAGTAATTTATTTTTTTAGTTTCCAAAGACAAAATTTAATAAACTTTTTTTATTCCATATTATTTTCACTTTTTATAACCTTAATATTATTCAATTATAGGTCAATTATCGAAAATATGAAGCTCAGAAGATAGAAAATTGAGAGAATTATTATTTGTACTATAAATGTGTATATTTTAATAACCTATGTGCATATATCGTAATAGCTATGGTATCGGCGTGCGAACGAGTAGCATTTGTGGGTTCGAACCCCACTCAGTAATCCCCGTGAATTAACTCCTGAGTTTATCCTCTCTGGAGGTTTTAACAGCAATATTACTAATGTATATTGAGGCAAGATTGAACAAGATATTGTTTTTAATTAGCTAAAATTTATTTATTTTATTTAAAATAGTTATTTAATTAATATTTTCTTAACAAGACTAAAGTCACCGGCAATTACTTGAACACAGATATCATTCGAGGAGATCCGATGGGATTTTCCACCCCGTCACATCACGTCACGCATCACCACATTATCAATCTTTAATACCATCTCTTTAGAAAGGAGGTTTTGGCCTACCACGCTGGCCAGACGAGTTGGTACAGGGTTTGTGTCAAGTTTTCAACCAAACTGATTACTACATATGTACATCAGACATCTGCGTCTAGACTCCAGGCTTAATAAATTCTATTCTACAAGAAGATCTTGATAGGGTAATTTTTAGTGGTGAAATTTGTAGTGTATGGTCCTCAAAAACTTCTTTTGAACCATCTCAAGTCGGGTTACATACTTGTCGTAAATAGGATCACAAATTGGAACCGCAAAGTCTAGTTGAGATCTTATAAGGGTATTATATAGGAGTAGTAAAGTAGACAGGCGCTTGAAATCTTTGGAAGATCTCATAACGAAACCATACATTTGAAAAGATTTACTAATAATATTGTTTATATGTAGATCTAGATGTAGTTTTAAGTCAATGGTGACACCCAAGACACGAATGTAGTCAACTTTTTTAAATCAATGTCGTGTAAAGTGTAATTGTGTATTATGATTTTCTTCTTTACATTTGGGGATGCTGAATGTAGTTTGTTAAATGGTATTAGTTGAATAGTAAGTAGTAGTTGAAATAGCGAGGAGCGCTTAATACTAAAGTAAAATGATATTCGTCCGTGTGGTGACTGATTAAGAATACGGAGTGTCACCATCCCTATTTATCGCGTAGGTATCGTAAGAGCCGACTAAGGAAGCAAACTACTCACGACAACAACACTACAAAGAGAAAGAAAACTTGAAACGAACCCTTTACCGGCTTTAACAACCCGTCTGGCCAGCCTGGTGGCCAAAACCTCCTTTCTAAAGAGAGGTCTACCACTATGTCAAGTAGTGGACTATTAAAGGCTGTTGACGATGATCATGAAATGATATTTGTGTCAAATAAATTACCAGGCGCCTACGTTAGCACCGGCGAATAGTGTTTATACCAATGATATTTTTTAGGAAGATACGTTATATTCATACTGCAACACAAAATATTTGTTGCGTAACGCTATACATACATCTATTTTATATAGGAAATAGGGAAAGCATAAGAGCGAAAGAGACAGCTATTTGTAATCAGTGCAGCGACAGAAGGCATTTTATGCAGTTTTTCGATTGAATTAATATGCGAGCTTTTTGTGGTCTTAATTAGGACCCTCACGTTTTGTGCGTTGGTGACGTATCTACCTCTTATATGTATACACATTCAATATTTTAGTTTCATCACATTATATAAATACAAAATTACAAGGCGATGTTTAGCGTACTAGAATACTAGCTTAAATATCTTCAAAACAAACACTGTGTAAACAATTTAAGACCATTAAATTATAAGTAATCATTACGTATATCCTCACGTATCTCGATAATAATAAGTACAATAAGTGTAAATTTTTAGCCTGTTTATCGCCTTTTTGAGGTAGCATCATTCTATTTTCAAAACCTCAAAGATGTGTCATCATTGTGCACTAAAATCTCCCCGTTACGCGATCCTAATTTGCTTTAATTGTTGCAGTATAAAATATCAGATAATTATTTCTATAATAAGTAAAACGTACTCTGCACAGTAAAATATTAAGTTTAATTTCATTACGTGTGGCCGTTTTTTAAAGTTTACTGTTTAATAAATGTCATGGTCTATTTGAAATTTTTAATTTTAAAAAGAAAAAAAATAGTCTGTTATGAAGATTTAAATCAAAATATGAACTAAAATTAATCAATGATTGTTCTCTCTATTAAATATATTAAATTTCAAAACAATTTAGCTATTCTTACATAAATGTTCCCACTTTTTGTAGTAAGTAATTATTTTATAAGTAGTTCAGTTGCCGTCGGGCCTTTGTAGAAAACATACGCTTGTTTTGCTTAAGAGTGCAAATTCCAGTGTTTCTCAAACAATCGACACAATGTTTATCTGTATCAGTTGTAACCTACAACACACAGATGGCCCAACTTGCAGAGTTTGTAAAAACCAATATGACTTTGGGTGTGCTGGAGTCACTGAGAATGGCTTTAGAAGACTAGGCGAAAGGAAGAATAACTGGCGTTGCTCTAAATGTAAGCTTAGTCCCTTACCTTCCCCGGCTTCAGCGTCTCCAGTGCCCAGTCAGTTAGATAAAATGCAAGAGCAACTCAATCAGATCGTCTTCCAGTTGGCTCCGCTTGCATCGTTAATAGAAGATATCAAATCTATTAAGTCTGATGTCAACAATCTTAAGGAGTCAGTGGAGATGGCTCATGGGCTTATTTCTACTTTTTCAAGCTCCATCAAATCGCTGGATGAAAGAATTATGCAAGTCGAGAAGGTAGCAACAGAAATTCCTTCCATGCAGGCAGAAATAAGTAGACTGAATAGGGAACTGGATGATAAGGACCAGTGGGCCAGGGCGAATAACGTCGAGATTCGTGGAATTCCCCAAAAGAAAAACGAGAATCTGTATGATGTAGCCCAGAGAATTGGCAATCTTTGTGAATTTCCCATAAGAAAAGAATATATAAACTATATTGCCCGGGTTCCTACACTCGTACCGAACGCGGAGAAACCAATTATTATAGCTTTTAACAATAGATATATAAAGGAAGAACTGGTTGCGTCCTCACGGAAATGTAAAAGGCTAACACTTTCCAACCTGGGTTTTACATCGCCTAATAACTTTTATATCAACGATCACTTGACGCAGCGGAACAAGAAACTATTGAGTAGTGCAAGATCACTGGCGAAAGAACGAGGGTTCCAATATATCTGGGTGAAACACTCCAAAATCATGGCCAGGAAGACCGACAGTTCCCCTGTGTTTTTTATACGCTGCGAAAAAGATTTGGCGAGGATTGTCTAAATTTTTATTTTAAAGTTAATATTTTGTACCGTGTGTTGTATAAACACGTACACAGTTTGAGAACCATTTGCATATTACCTGCCTTTTGTTTGACGATCTATGAGCGCTGTCCGAGATGTCGAGCTAATCAATTAACGCCCGTAAGTACACAGTACTATATGATGTTCTCGCATGTATTCATGCGCTCAAGCGCTCACATAGTGTTCATTATTGTGTACACATTCACTTGTATAAGTTCGAAATCATTTTTATATCGATGTCAATACTTCTTATGGATGTTTGTAAACTATTGTTCGTGTACCTTATATTTTAAAATAAAAATGTGTTTTTCTTTTTATACTATAAGCCAAATGATATGGATTGGTATTATTGTGAAGTATTTTACATGTTGTTTACAACTTATCTGTTCACCACAGGTAATTGATATTTTATGTGTTATATTATTGCATAATTTATATTTCTACGGCACTGTCTTAGTCTGTTACGATAACGAATTTTACATTTTAACCACGTTTTTAGTATTGCGTGGTGTTTTATCTATAAAATTAAGTAATCATTGTTTTAATATGCTTCTCTGGAGTTTATGTTTACCTTGTATCAATGGCTACCACTAATTTAAATATGTATTATCAGAATACTCGAGGCCTACGCACTAAAACGCACTTATTCAAGCGTAATATCCTTCTCTCATCATATGACATCGTTTCGCTAACCGAGACCTGGCTGCTAGAGGGTATTTACGACCGGGAGTTGTTTGATGAGAGATATGTCGTTTGGAGGCGGGACAGGGATTATGTGGCGACGCGTGAGAGGTACGGAGGTGGGGTGCTTCTAGCTGTACGTAGGGAGTTTGCTGCTGTTGAGCGCCCGGAATGGCGTTCTACAGCAGAAGATATTTGGGTTACCATTACTTTAAAGCATCGAACATCGCTTAGTAGTTTGACCCGCTTACACGTATGTACAATATACCTTTGCAGTGAGAAAACTGGTAATTCTTTCAATATACAATTGCAGAACTTTACCCAAAACCTTTCGTTAATTGTGAACTCTCATCCCAATGATTTATTTTTGATAATGGGTGACTTTAACCTAAGTCATATAGACTGGCACGGTGAACCGGGTAACTTGCAGGCGAACGGGATTACTGGTACATCTCAAGCGTACTTTTTTGATACCTTATCTGAATGTGGCCTCAATCAATATAATCTTGCAAAAAACACAAATGGTAGAATACTCGATTACATAATATGTAACCACAGAGTAACTGTCGCTTCATGTAGCAACTCGTTGGTGCCTGAAGACTCTCACCATAAATCTTTAAATGTTACTATTAAGTTTTTGAAAGAATGTCATTTAAAGAGTAATCCCCGCTATAAATATTGTTATGAAAAAGGGGACTATGAAGCTATCAAATTATCACTGTGTAACATAAATTGGCATACATGTTTAAACAATATCGCTTTAGAGGACGCAGTAGATACATTTTATAAACACCTTTATGGCGTCATAGATCAATCGATACCCCAAAAAGTAATTTCCTCTAATTCTTTTCCACCGTGGTACTGCAGTCCTTTGAAAAAAATACTTAGGGAAAAATATAAATTTTATAAAAAATATCAAATTTATGGTAATTCTAGTGACTACAACACATTTTGCCTTCTTCGGGAAAGAGCTAAACGTATGGAACACGAGTGTTATATCTCGTATATATCTCGCTCTGAAGATGCAATAATTAAATGCCCCAAGCATTTCTGGTCCTATGTTAAATCAAATAGAAATGGATCCAATTCACTACCCTCGACAATTTGCTATAATGGTCGGTCAGCCGACACAGGTGTTGAAATATGTAATCTTTTTGCTGCACACTTTTACTCCAACTTTCTTCCGCCGTCGACGTCTTCCTTACCAACTCCTGTGTCTTACAATGACGTACCAAATTGTATAGGTGATATAGTGGTTGATGCTGATGCAGTTCTGAAACTATTTCAATCTCTCGATCTATCGAAAGGGGCGGGTCCCGATAAAATTGTACCCCTATTTATTGTTAAATGTGCTGCATGCTTAGTCGAGCCTCTTACCATACTGTATAAAAGGTCGATTTCAGAGGGACTAGTACCTAGAATTTGGAAGTCAGCATTTATCACCCCTATACACAAGAACGGCAACAAAAATGATGCTAAAAATTACAGGCCTATTTCAAAGTTATGTGTTTTTGCAAAGGTGTTGGAGAAGATTGTGTATTCACAACTTTATGAAGCAGTTACCTCAATTATAATTTCTGAACAGCATGGCTTCCTTAGAGAACGATCAACTTTATCAAATTTAATACTTTTTACGGACTTTACGACATCAAACATGGATGGCGGTGGACAGGTAGATGCAATTTTCACTGACTACAGTAAAGCATTTGACCGCATTGACCATAAAATACTTTTACAGAAACTACTTTTTGCGGGAGTCCACGGCAACCTTTACCGGTGGTTTGCTTCATATATTGAGAATCGATGTCAGGCAGTAGTACTAAGGGGGTTCTGTTCCACCTGGTGCAACGTCTCTTCTGGCGTGCCGCAAGGCTCATTACTCGGACCACTTCTTTTTAATTTATTCATAAATGACGTCGGCCAATGTATAAAATATTCAAAATTTGTGCTTTATGCCGACGATATGAAGATATTCAAAAACATTACTTGCATAAATGACTGTCGCCAACTTCAGGAAGACTTGGATAGATTTGAACACTATTGCTTGGTTAATAAATTAGATTTAAATGTTAATAAATGTCACTTCATTACCTTCACTCGCAAAGCCAAAAAAATTAATTTTACGTATTCTATTAGGGGTCATGTGTTGCAGCAGGTGGATGAGGTCCGAGACCTGGGAGTTATTCACGACTCCAAGTTAACATATGAAAAACATATAGATTATATTGCTAAAAAGGCTAGTAGGGCATTGGGTTTCGTTCTCAGGTCTGGTTCTCAATTTAAAAATTTGAAAGTGTTAAAAGTGCTATATTGCTCGCTGGTGCGTAGTGTCCTCGAGTATTGCTCGCAAGTGTGGAATCCACGATACAACGTTCACAGGGAAAGACTGGAATCTATACAGCGTAGGTTTCTAAAGCATCTGCAATACAGGTCTAAGTGTTACGACCCAACTTATGAAGCACGCTGTCGAAGACATCATATCTTACCATTGTGTGAAAGAAGGAGGATTTCAGATGTCACTTGTCTTGTCAAAATTTCTCAGAACGTTATTGATTCACCTACCTTATTATCCAAAATCAACCTTAAAGTACCAAACAGGATGACTAGACAACATGTATATCTAGATGTTCCTCATTGTTCGTCAAACTATGGGCAGAACTCATTCTTTGTCAGAGCTGCAAGAGAAATTAACGGACTGGTTGGTTTGCCACAATTGGATTTGTTTAACACTAAACCATACCAATTTAGCAGAGTATTAACAGATGCATGGTTCTCGGGCTAATATTATTGAACTGTATAACTTTTGTTTATTTTTTTACCATTTCGGTTTTTGTTGCTTTAGTTTTCTCATTTTATTTATCTTTTACATTTATTATAATTGCACGGTTCTTTTAATTATTGGTATGTTGTTAAAACATCACAAGCTGTTTAGATGTATAACTGCGAAAACATGTAAATGGTGGATAGTGTTAACACATGTTGTATCCTTTGTTATATGCACTGTATGTTTTCCGAACAAAATAAAATAAAATAAAATAAAATAAAAAATATCTATAAAACAGTATAAATGAATATTGATTTTGACAGTTCGTACTTCCAAAGTATGAAAGGTAGAGGCAAGGAGAACCATCTCTGTGTATGGAAAGTGTCCGCAAAAACGCGTCCTATAAGGGTGGCGCTGCGGTAGCCTGGGATAAATTTATATTGGCTTAAATAATAATAAGACACTTTGTACTAGACTGTGAAAATAGTCAATGAGTTTTACAGATACTGATTAAATGTGTAATAACTTTCAGACAGTAAAAGTTTAATAGTATTTTAACTCAGCACTCTCACTCCGTCTACAACACCTATGTTCATAGCGTAGTTTTTCGTACAGCCAGCGACCTCTATTTTCAGAATGCAGCTGGACACTTTTCCAACTTTCCCTCCTTATGAAATGCTTCTTTTTGCCTCTACGCTCCATAATCCAAACTTAAAACGATAATAACATTTAAAATAGACTCGTTTTTATGAATCTTACATGACGAAAGCAATCTTTGCATGCAGTAGATTCTGCATCCTATTATTCCTATTAAGGCTCCATAGTGCTCCATCTAGATTGTATACGAAATCAAACGCTGTGACAATAAGAATATTTTTGTGCAAAGACTAAGGAACAGACACCAAAACGTCTAAATACAGAAACATTTGACTTAAAAGGAAACAGTTAAGTTTATGTTTTCTTGTATTGTAATTATGACAAAAAAGACGCCGAGTAGACATTGTGCTTTAGATTTAGTTTAGAAATAGGTCAATTATTAACACTAGATTTTTACTAAATATATTTAAATTACAAAAAAATACTCATCGATCAAATACCAAAGCAGACTATCAATTTATTCCTACTATAAAATAGACAAACCCACCGTTACTAAAATTCACTAAAAACTTTTAGTAAACAGAAGTGTGTTTGTCAGCTACTGGCTCCGACTGGAGTTTACTCCTTAAGAATGATTCGGCTGCACACAAGTTTACAAATTATAGACACACATTACTAAAAAGTGAAAGGTGCACACGATAGGTTGCGCTCAAAAAACGTAACAAGGTCATTCGATTACAAAGCTTTACTCTTTATAGTTTTTTCATACCGGGCGCCTTATATATAGTAAATCGATTCTTAAGGAGTTACCTCCAAACATTTTTTTATCGATAGGGTTCGGTTAATAATGCGTAAGTTAATAATGCGTATTTTACTACTCTCCCAAACAATCGTATATTATAAGGACACATAAGATATCTCGGTTCCCTTACGTAAAACTGTTTCTTCTTTTCAAAATATTGAATAGTTATTAGAAAAGGGTTATGAATGTAATCATACTCATTATTTGACGTACTATGATTAAAAATGAGCAATTTATACTGTAGTCAAATAATACGATAGGTACGAACTGACATCTCACCAACCATCTGACAACTAACTTAAGCACCGCGCGGGCGCCTTGTGAAATTATGTAAAGCACGCTTACTCAACTTCTTTTTACGTAGTTTCGCCTCTTGTTACAAAATAAAACTAAGAATTAGATGATTTTACGTGATAGTAAATGACAAGAGGATTTCTTTCACAGTTTTTCTTTTTTTTTTGTTTTTTAATTTATTATATTACAATTAAATTTCTGAAGTTATAGGACAGAATTGCGTTTTTCCTCCGCCAGGCGGCATCTCAACGCCCTTACGTGATTAATGAATGACCCCTAAGATGTTTACAAACGACGATTCTCAAACTTAATATTTTTCGGATTGACTCATTTATCATACTTTTTTGTAACACACTTGTTCAGATATTTGTGTATAGTACAGAATGCTTTGGTATTCATCTCACAATTCAATAAATTACGCAATAATGTGTTTAATCAATACAGATACAGTTGATTTAACGTTGATTTAACGCTGGCAACACTCACAGTGGCAGTTCTATATAATTTATGGAATGGTCTCTGCATATAGAAGAAGGTTCAATGATACAGTACAAATCAACAATTTGATAAACACAATACCGCCACACACAGAAACTTCTGGAAATTAAGAGAAGGTGTCGTTGACCTGTCTGCAGCACCTGATGAACGTGGCTCGTCTTGGCAGTTCCCGGAGTCGTGCGGCACCCACGTACGTACAGGCTGAACGTAAACCGCCTAGGATATCCTTAACGGTAGCTCCTACATCACCGCGGTATTCTACTTCGACTGTTTTGCCTGCAAGTACAAATTAAGACTATTGATGATTTTCAGATATAATACAAATTGGGTCTCAGAGGTCGAAATTAGAATTGAGCTACTAAAAACAAAACGAATTAAAGAAAATCGGTTGTCAATTAGATTAAGATAAGATTCTTAACTGTTTTGTCTTTGCCTGACTATTTATAATCTATAAATATAAAAATGTTAAGTTGGGTTGTGTACGCTTCTCCGTGTGGTGGTCCTATTATCTCCGTATGGTGACCACCCCTATTCATCCCATGGGTGTCGTAAGAGCCGACTAAGGGAACGAACTACGCAGGACAACAGCACTGTGAAGAGAAGGAAAACTTGACACAAACCCTATACCAACCCGTCTGGCCAGCGTGGTATAGTAGGCCAAAACCTCCTTTCTAAGGAGAGGCCTATGTCCAGCAGTGGACTATTATAGGCTGTTGATGATTTATGGTGTACGCTTCAAAAATTAAAATAGTTTTGCACCGATTGAACTCAGATTTTGGCACGATATACCTACAACCCGCTTCATAGGTTGCTTTTACTTCTTTTTCGCGTCAGTTTTCAGTTACCAAACTAATTAAAGCGTGATAAAAAATGAAAACAATCTTTACACGAACCTTCAGAAGATCTATATTCGGCTACGCCTCCCAAATGTTTCAACATCGCAGTTGAGGACGACATGCCATAAAATAGTTTGACTTTCCGTCCGTCAGGATGGATGAACACATCACCACCACACTGATCGTGTCCAGCGAACATGCCACCGGCCATCACGAAGTCTGCGCCAGCGCCGAATGCTTTCGCTACGTCACCAGGACACGAACAGCCACCATCCTGGAATTAAAAGTTATAAAATATTAGATTGGTGTCAGTTTTAGAATTTATAAGGCAACTTCCGCACTAGGAATATGTATATCCTGTGTCGTGGGGGACTTTATAGACATACATTAAACGGACACAACGAACACCCAACACAACAATTTGTGAATCACACAAAGTGTTGTCCCATGTTGGGATCGGTCCCACAACACTCAGCGCATTACGGCGAGGTGACCGCTTATACCACTACACTATCCGTGCAGTCACTACTGCACAGCAGTAAATTACTGCTAGGAATTAGAGAGAAAATAAATATTACTTCTTATTTTTTACAGTTAGCTACTAAAAGTACTACTCGTATTAAACTGCGGTCCCAATGTGACCACAAGAGAGTCCATTAGGTAAGTTAAACACCGTCTGTAATTTGATCAGCCTGGATTTACCGATATGATATGTCCTTTGAGTCCGTGAGCTGCGTCTGCGCATTCAATGACAGCAGATAGTTGAGGATAACCTACACCAGTCTTGATCCTTGTGGTACACACTGAACCTGGTCCTATTCCCACCTGAAAAATAAAAGTGTGTATGATAAACGCTAAATGCTGCAATATCACCATATTTTTAACCCAAGAAAAATTGGCTATTTAAAATAACTTGCTTCTATCTAACTTAATTAAACTTGAAAACAATCGGCAAATAAAATGATTAAATTACAAATAGCATTTTGCTTTTGTGGCATTTTCTAATATTTTAAAATGAATGTTGTTTCATACCTTAATGATATCAGCACCAGACAAAATTAGCTCTTCTACCATCTCGCCAGTAACGACATTGCCAGCCTGAAAACAAAAGAAATTTAAATTTACGAAAACTTTCGTTGCGTAATGCAGCATTAGTAATTAATTTCTTAGTTACTTTTAATAAATATCAAATTATCTTTAACAAGCTTACGCGACAAAAGTTACCTATCGTTTCATTTAATGGCGTAATATTTACTTGAACATTAAATCAAGAATATATTACTTTATATGTGAGAGTAGTATAATATTTTGGAAGACGGATGCATCAACTAAGCTCGAGGCCTGCGTTACGCTGTGAAGTATTACGATAACATTATGACCATTGGAGAAGCGAAAGGTGACATGAAATGATGAAATAATCTATCCTTTTGCTTTCCTGCAGTCTATAAAAGGGCATAAAAATTAAAGGAAATGTGTAACAGGAGTGTGTAAGCCGGGAAATCGCGATTGATTTGACCAACGAGCGCGCACGGTTCTTTATATTAGATATTACCCATTTTGTGCGACTAATATAAGGATAGCTCGTTTTCAAGATTCATGGTATACAGACGCCTAATCAGAACCCGAGAAAACTTAAGTAAATGACACAGAATTATAATAAAATATAATCTTGGAACAGGCACTTTCGCTTTTGTATCGGTTACGTTACAATGGGGAAGTCACGGCTACGGTTTCACGACAAAGAAACCATTTTATAGAATTAAATTCACTAAAATAATAAAATGTTACTTACAATGATGTTATGTGTAGGGAAGGCAGCGCGCACCCTCCGCACATACTCCACGAAGTGTTGGGAGTATCCATTGGCGACATCCAAACAGATAAACTTAAGATCCTTCACCGTAGTTAAGATCTCTTGGAGCCGTACGAAGTCGGCTTCTGCTGTGCCTGAACTTGCCGCTAAAAGAAACGACATTTTTATTGAAATACTCTAAGTAAACCTTAGTTCAGTAAGAGAAAAACAGAGAAATTATCTGACAATTGTTTTTACTGGGGCGTTAGATATTAGTTAATTAAATAATTAGTACATTGTTATTACTTACCCATTTGTTCTAAACACTCCGGGTGTTCTGTGGCAAACTTTTGCCACTCCTCAGTGGAGTAGTATTTGTGAATACACGTGAACAGCCCATGCTGAAACAAAGATAATATGAATAATAGAATAAAGTCTTTGATCTTTAGAACCAAAGGTTTTTTGCCTAAGCTAAACAGTAAACGATAAAAACGCAAGCTCTACGGTAAATACAGCTACTATTGCGATTTCTGAGTTCCATGCTGCACCTGCACGTGCCACAAATAACGAACAGCCTACCGATTACGATTAATTGATACGAATGGGGTTGAGCTATAACTCTCCGCGATAGTAAAATATTCCCTCCTTCAAGGATGACATAACACTAAACACATTTTATTATTATTATCACCTATAGAATTAGAAAAGGCGGAGTAGGCGTTTCCCTCGGGAAGTGATCCCGAATAACAGAATTCAATGACGGGCAAATGGGGCAATCAGGTTATCCTTGGAAACTGTAGTAACTATCCGTTTACATTAAATACCTACTGTAGTGAATAGTATTTAAATTCATCAGATGTTAGTATTTCATTACATAAAATACACAAAGAAATCTTTATGTTACAATGTTATCCATTAGACTCTGAGTAAGGTATTGTTAGTTTTTCTAGAAACTTATCGTGACATGAAAAAATAAATAATGTGTACGTTTGCTATGACTATTAATCATTTCATTGAATACTTTTGTTTAAGTATTCACATCCGAGCATGTTACTGAGAAGTAGTTAACTGTTCCGGTAGAGTAGGATAATTCTAAATTCTACTCAGTTGCGATAGGGATTTTTGTTTATTTTTTTCACGAAAGATTATAAGGTCGAAATGATTTTTAGACCTTAGTTTCTTTCCAAACATCTCAAACACAAATTTCTGGAAAATCATAATGTTGAACTTAGTAAGGAAATATTTTATTTGCTAACTTTTGTTCTTTTTTATTATTAGTTCATGTTCTTTAGAGATTTTGATGCAAACTTTCGATTATGTGTCGAGCTCAAGTTAGCCGAAAGTAAGTTTTCCAGCCAATGGTGTTCAACGGAACTTAACTTCAAGAAAAGAACAAAGTACGATTAAAATGCGTTTGTATATTTCAGAATAACATTAAAGAAGCAATGTTTAGACATTCGTTTGAACGGTAACTTGTTTTGATAAAATTCAATTGTTTTATTTATTGTAACAGTTTCTAGTATTGATTCGAAACCAACAGTATTTATTTTTTTAAAAAGCCTACAGTACGGTGTAACAGTACATTGTTTATTCTATTATAGAACTACAAAAGTTATATCAAAAATCTATCTGTTTTTGCAAAAAAAAATAGTGTTGATGCCTATTTATTGGACAACACTAACTGGATTGTCTGAAACGAACATGCACTGAAAAGTTTAACTACATTATATGTGTGAAGTTACTCGTGTAAAGAGTTACATCTCTTTAAAAACGAGTGAAATATATGTAGAAATACGCTCTGAGGATTTTAATGAAAAATCAGGAAGCGAGTCCTTTGCTTACCAGAAGTTGTTGCCTCGATTCCTTTCCGGTAAAATAGTGAATGCACTAATAACCCGGTCGGACCTAGTACCGTCTAGTCTGTCTGACTGCCATTTGTTTCTCTCTCTGCTAAACTCTTTTGGTGGTAAAAAAAGTGGTGACTGGAATACTCGTTGGCCTTTCACATCTTTGTCAGATGATTTAAGTAGCGTCTTTGTGGCAACTTTAATATGGGCCCCATCATGTACCTCACAACCATCACTCAGAGACTTTTTCAACTTATTTCGGTCATTTGCTAAGTCTTCCCAGTTCTCGTGGTTGATACCGAATGCACGCATGTCACGTTTTGTGCAGTCCTTGAATTACAACAGAGGCTGCCTACCCTTCTCCTAGCAAAAGTAACTTCAGTCAGCATGGTACGCCTTGGTAAGCGGGTGGTATCCACATGCCTTAGCCATCGTAATCTACGTTGTTTAAGCATCTCCGTAATGCTAGGTACCTGTGCAATTTGCAGCACCCGCTCATTTGTGACTCTGTCTTGCCAGGTGATGTTCAATATGCTGCAAATGCAGCGCATGTGCTTCTTTCATGCTTTGCATATGACGTCCAGCTTTCGGCTCATCACAAGAGTTTGCTCAGGACACGCGTTCATAACCATCATTTTTGTACTGGTTGTAAGATGGCTGTTTGTCCACACCCTGGCACTAAGCCTTCCGAACGTTGCAGCCGCTTTTTCTATCCGACTTTCAACTTCTACATCTAGCGACAGCCTTGTGTCAGTACAACTGTCTTTTTCACATTCATTGACATGGAGAAGAGCGAGCAGGCACGTTAAAACTTGTAAAGAAGAAGCTGCCGTTCCTATGAGGTCTTTGCAACAAAGGCAGCGTCGTCGGCAAAGAGCAGGAAGTCAACGTGTAGATCGCTACGTTTATTACGTGACTTAAGTAGAGAAGGATTGTAAAGTTTCCCGTCTGCTCTTGTGTGTAGATGGACTCCCTAAATAGCTTCGCCAAATGCAACCGTCAAAAGTAGGGAAAAAAAGATGCCGAAGAGTGCAAAGAGTGATGGTGCCAAGACACAAGCCTGCCGTACTCCTCTCCGCATATCAAAGGGGTCAGATGTTTTCCCATTATGAAGAACAACGCCCCTAATGCCGTTGCGGAAAGATCCAATTAGGTTTAGAAATTTTGGTGGACATCCTACATGTTTGAGTGTGATGTAAAGACCCTCTCGGCTAATAGTGTCAAATTCCTTATTCAGGTCGACAAAGCCCAAAACTAGCGGGCTATTCTGCTCACGTGATTTCTCCTGCAGTTGCCGTAGCGTAAAAATCATATCAACAGGCAACAGCCTTGTGCAAATCACTCGGGCATGTCGTCCAGCTCGCTTCAAGTTTCCAGTTGCTGTATAGCTACTACAGCTTCTGGACAGATATTAACTGGTCGTGCATAGAGTTCGGTGTAGTGCTCAACCCAACAATCCAATTGGCGCTGGTGGTCGTAAATAATCGAACCGTCGTTTTCTTTTAGAAGAGCTGTACTTTTTGGCATGGCCCGATGGTCTTTTTATTCCCCGCGTAAACGCCCGACAGATTCCCTGCTGCTGCACAGCTCTGAATGTCCTAGCACAGTTTCTGGCAAAAGTTGTCAGCAAACTGGCGAAATATACGCTGAAGGTTCGACTTAGCAGCATGGAGTGCAACCCTTGTTGCATCACAAGGATTCATGTGATAATCTAAGGCAATTTCAATTATATTAAAATAATTTCAATTAAAGGCGTCAGATGGATAGTGTTTACTGAAAACCTGCTTACGGGTTTCGAGGTGTCAGAAAGAAAAACTTTACCAGCAGCCTTTGTTAAATTTTGTTAAATAGCCACTTGATGCAGTGCCACTCTGTTTCAACTGATGCCTCAGCATCCCAAGTAGCTCACCATCTCTAAGCTCTTGATGTTAGAAATATTTCATTTCATTTTACCAGTATTTTACTGGAGTGCATTGTTTTCCGTTTTAACCCGGACCGTGCACAACATAAGAGAATGATCAGTGTCGTAATCAGCGCTGTGAAAGGACCTAGGGTAGAGAATTTCCCTGAGATCCCTCTTTTTTGTCAAGGCTACATCCAGCTAGTGTCATTGTCCGGATTCCCCGGATTGTATTTCAGCCACAGTGTTACAGAGCCGCTCATAAAACTCGTCCTTAGAGTTGGCGAAAGATTTGTGTGTTGGACCGTATGCATAAATTAGTGTGACGAATCCGCGCTTGGTAGAAAGGCGAAAGAGCATGATACGTTCGGAAATGGTTGTTTATATAAAGTTCAGCAAATAATTTTGAAACCCGACGCCGTGCTCGCGACGCTCGCTTATATCTCTGCCCTTCCAAAAGAAGGTATAGTTTTGCTCACGTAAAGAGCCTTCGTCTGGAAGCCTGGCTTCATATTTTATCCTGAGAATTTACAAAAAGTAACTGATCCACTTATTCAACTCATCTGACGAGGCTCAAAAGAGGATCAAAAGAGCTGACGTGACAAAATTACTAATTCCAACAAAATTTATACAAAAAAATTCTATCTCACACACGTAGCCGGTTCTATACCAGATACCTAAAACACCCAGGCGCAAAAATATTCTTCTTAAACCTGAGTATTATGTTACAGAGTATGTAGACGTACCTTAGACAGTTCTCTGGCCATTTCGAAAGTACCTACGGTGTCCATATTACTTGCCATCACCGGTACACCTTTGTAAGTCTGTCCGGAGTTGCGGAATGTAATCTCCCGAAACAAGTCAACCTGGAACAAACATAATAAACCTTTTATGCATTGTCACAAAGTGTAGTTTTCCTTGACATCAACCTTGTTTATAAGGCAGTAAAACGTACAATATTGTTTATGAAAATATATCTAAGCCTGTTTATTCGTGCCTTCGTAATGATAGTACTAATTTGGTTGAGCTTGAATCTTGATAACACTGTATATAATATGTCACTATATGGAAGGTCAAAAGCTCCTTTCTAAGGAGAGGCCCGTGTCTAGCGCTGGACTAATATAATTATATTTTATTAATATTACGAGCCAACACGTGCTCAATTGCTACTATGCAGACATCATTTCATATCCTTCAAGAATAATATTATGAGAAACTTTGAGCATTGCTTCTTAATATTAAAAAAACACATTAAGCATTTAAGGTCATTTTATAAATTAATGGTATATACAATATTAATGAAAATGAAAGAAAACTGAAAAAAAATACCTACACTATCCGGAGTATTTCATCCACTTAATCACGCAACTTATCTATTTCTTACTAAATAGTGTTACAAGTCGTTTAATTTTTAAACCATAATAAATCTTCACAAAAAATATTGAAGAACATTTTAGTCAAGGCCTGATTAGCAACTTTAAACCGCCGCAGTCCACCAGGACAAATATTTTTTTTCTTTTTATAATCTGTAGAGAGGCAGAAGCCTTGCTAACCACCGCTATCGGCCAGACACCGCAATATTTTTTTGTTTTATCATAAATTCGAACACGTGTAAATACATTTTCTTACATATTTATTCAAATGAATTATTCAGTCCGTACCTAGGATAACTATAGTAAGTCTTAACTTTTATGTAGTGTGTACATATTTCTCTCCAGACCGAGTAAAGTATACTCGTAGTACTTTACTCGGTCTTTACGGTACAACCAGTTGTGCAACTGCAAATATACCTATAAATGCATATTGCATTAACGAACGTTATAAGTAATATGCAAGTTGTGAGGGAGGCCGTAACGAATGCTAAAATAGTGTATTCAGACCATCATTGTGAGTCGAAAATCATTGGAATTGCCTGCCGGAAAATTAAAATTTTTATGCAATCAGCTGTCAAAGGTAAAGTCATTCCCCGTAGGTATCGCACAAAAGTAATAACTACATGTGTATTCCGTGCAAACAGTCTACGCACACTTACACAAGTTGGCGGCAGTTTTGACCTATGCGGTATTTATTAAAAAAAAAACAGTGAAATGTTTTGTTTACTAATTGTGATATCATTTTTCATCATTTTTAACCAAAAAATGGAAAATTATAAAAAAAAGATGAATTTACCACTTAGTATCATGGTCTGAATACACTATTTCAGTATTCGTTTTAGACGTTCCTTACTTATAAGTCACACCCTCCTTCAGTCCATTTGCTTTACGAGAAAAAAAAGAAAAAGAAAAAATAAGTAAAGAGAAAAACACATGTACTGAGTGTTATATGTATGATAATTTGCAGCTTTATTTCTATATGTCTTGTTATATATATTCGCTAGACATATGACAGATGAATATGTCTAGAAAGTAAAATAATTTCACTACAAAACAGATCTGTTAATGATAACGATATCTACTCAGGAACTTGATAGAAGTGTTTTATATATAGAGATACAGGAGACGGTTCTTTCATCTTCCTTATGACGCAACCGGCACACAGGCACAGTGCCAAATAAATAGTCTTATACAATATTACTGAGCTGAAATTCTAGCGAATATTCTGTACCCAAGACGGAGATTAGGTAATCAAGTTTTAGATATTTTTGTTGTTTGTGTACTCATACTAGCTTACATACCCAGCTTTCTAGGACTTCAGGAAGTACCCTAAGAATTTTGATGATCATCAGTAAGTCTGTGACGAAATCGGGGTTTTTGAGATATCCATAAAATCTAAAGTATATATCTATGTAAATTAAACTTTAAATGTTTAAAAGTCCACTATTGACATAATATCCCTAAAATTTTGTTTATCTGGTATCAAACTCAAGTCATGAGGGTTTAAAAAGCGATGAAGCACTTCGAGAAAAGGTAGATAGCCCTTGATTTCTATAAATTCGAAAAGAAAAATAATAAAAAAAAGCGTGGGGTATTTTTCAAGATATTTCATAATAAAATAAGTTTCTGTCGATAACCCACGCGTTATTACGATACAATGATTTTTCTTTTCTGAACCAATACAAAATTATTATCTACTTTGTACAGAGGCGTGTTTTTTTAGTTTCTTAAACAATAATTGATTGTTTCTCGTCCCTTTTTTTCTTATTTCTTATAAATGCAACCACAATGTGCTATTGCAAAGCTCTATTTGGTATTCACTAAACATCAAATACTAAAGCCATACTTTTTCAAAATAATTGTTTTCAGTCTCAAAATTTGTCGATCTTATCTCTTAGGTATAGATAGTGGAATATATCTCGCGTGTTCAGATCTAAGTCACGTGAGGCGTATCTTTCTGTGTTGACCTCAGTCAATTAATACAATCTGTCTTAGTTTAAACGAGTCGAGTAGTGACTGATGTATTTAAGTAATTACTGGAACTACGACTAAACACAAGTAACCAAAAATAAAGTCACGCAGTTCCAGAATTGCGTGACTTCATTTTTAGTTACCCACCGACTAGATAAATATCCATAGCACTGATTTTGGATGAATGGTACATTATATTCCTTAAATTTTGGTTTGGAAAATAGACTTTCTGAAAATATAACCTGGGTTCTTTATAATAATATAACGCTTGAAGGAGGACCTACCTGTCCTAGAGGCAGGGGATTAGACAAAAAAACGCCTGTATCGACATGTGGTCTAATCACGTACAACTAGGACAGGTAGGTCAAAATGCACTTCGAACTAGCGCAATTTCAGCCTCCTTTTTACCAAAAGAGATTTTCCTGGCATAGTTACTAATAGATTTTATATTTACATATATACACATAATTATATATACTTAATGGGGAAATTGAGATTTCATTATGAAATGAAAAAATTGGTAAGATGGGAAGACAATGGCAGGACAGGGATATTGTTTCTACGGATGCATTGTGGAGAGTTAGCAATGGCTCGAGTATGTCAGGGTCGGACCTATTAGTCGATCTGGTAGTTACAGGGCAGTCCTAATCATCTTGCCTAATTTCTTTACTTCAATTGCTTTATAGGCTTAAGTTAGACAAGACCCGTCTTCAACTTTATTGCAATGTCTTAACTTAATGTCTTAACTTAACTTAACGCTTAAAGCGTTGATGTTTCGTCTTTCTTCTGTTAAATTCAAATACAGAAGTTAAGCCTAATTTTTACACCTGCAAACTGTTCTTTTACTAATCCTATGCATTTGTCCATGACAAATATTGTCTGGATGAAATCGCAATTAGCGATAAGACCCTGATTGTACTAGAAACGAATATTTGTATTATTATATGATGTATGTTTTTATGGTTTACAATAGAAAACATTGTATTGTATTGTCTTTAAAAGTTAAACACGATATGAAACAATTCACCTACGCCATGAAGAATTAAAGAATGATGAATCATAAAAACTAGGTATCTAAACGGTTTTTATATTGTATTTAAACCTTAATAAGCTGACAGTGGTACGTCTCGCCACCTTGGCCTCGATTTTCGTCTCGTACCAGCTGAAAATATCCAACGACAACTGCCTTTTTCTAAAGTTTGTCAAACACGCACATTTCGTGATTGTCACGCAAGACAATTTATCAGACGTAATTTGTTTGGTTGGACTTTGAATTTGTTTGGTTAGGTAGGTACAACTCGACAATAAAATCATTCATTAAATATTTTTATGGTATGACAAACGAGCCACCTAAAGTCACCCGAGTCACCTGAAGGTAAGTGACTACCGCCACCCTTGGAAACCTACTACTCAAGAGACACAAGTGAGTAAACTAGCCTTTTTCCAAAAAGTTAGGTTAGATTAAGCCATGAGCTTTATTGCAATGTCTGGTTTTTTGTAAAAAAGAACGAAGCAATTGTTCTGTTACAGACACACACTAAGGCGGTGTACTGTGATAACATATACCTATACTTAACTAAAAATGTTGATGGATATGTTTTTCAGGCAGGTAAAAAGTGCATACGTATATAGGCGGTAAGTAAAGAATCTAATGCTAAAAAAATCACGACTACTTTTTGTCAACTTTAATCGCTACTCATGAAAGTTTCATAAAATTAAATCAAATTCATATCGGTTCTATGAAAGATTGTTTGCGTTTCATATTATTTGTCATTTTTCAAACAAACATCAACAATAGTAAGCATTGATTTATTTATTTTAATATATGTTTCAACAGACTAATTAAATTTGACGTTTAAAATAGAAAATAATAATATTTTTGGACATCTAACACACAACGCCATCTACGAGTAAATAGTTGATATAAGTATATTTATACATATATGAAAGCTAGATTGACTGTAAAATACTTTTTTAATACATACATATTATACATAGAAATCACCCAAACTCCAAACAAATATTTACAGATCATACAAACATTTGGTCCGACGTGAGATCGAACCCGAGACCTCAGCACAGCAGTCACATACACTACCACTGCGCAACCGTTTCATGATTTGACTACACAGTCAACTGCTGTATTTTAATAACTATTAACTAGGGATGAAATAAAATCACATTCAACATGCTAAATCATATGATTTATAAATATATAATCATTTCTGTGACTAATTTACAAAACACTGCGACTTATTATTATTATTACGCCAGCGCCAGACTCAGACACAGAAAGGTATAATCTAACAAAAAGATCTTTTATGAAAAAAAAATTTGATTGATTTTGATGGCATTTATCTTTGTCTATGATCAAATAACGATCATAGCTGTAATCGCAGTGACTAAAACCAATCATATGATCATTTGATTAAGATGCAAAGTGATTTCCATGTCTACTTTATGAATTGTAATACCTACTTACATCTAGCTAACACATGTATTACGTAGGGAGAATATCATAA